CCAATCTTTCTTCACACTTCTGCTAAGTTGTCTGGATCCCTGAGCACCGTTCCACAGCGTTGTTCTGCATGTGTGTGTATGTATGTGTGTGTGTGTGTGTGTTTAAATATATTTTATTGATATTTCACAGAGAGGAGGAAGGAAGAGAGATAGAGAACTAGAAATGTCGATGAGAGAGAAGCATCGACCAGCTGCCTCCTGCACACCCCCCACCGGGGATGTGCCCACAACCAATGTACATGCCCTTGACCGGAATCGAACCTGGGACCTTTCAGTCCGCAGACCGACGCTCTACCACTGAGCCAAACCGGCTTCAGCTGTGTGTTTTTTTAAATATATTTTTTATTGATTTCTTACGGAGAGGAAGGGAGATAGAAACATCGATCAGCTGCCTCCTACTGATTCCCACCCGCCCTCCCCCCGGGATGTGCCCGTAACCAAGGTATGTGCCCTTGATTGGAATTGAACCTGGGACCTTTCAGTCCAAAGGCTGACGCTCTATCCACTAAGCCAAACCGGTTTTGGCTCTGCATGGTTTTGTATGTACTTCCTATCCTGCATTCTTCTGAAGCTTGCTTTGAGCTACAGATTGAATCTGAGATTTATCTGTTAATATGTTCATTCTGGGTTTGTATATTTGTCCATCCATTCTTAACTGCTGAATAGTATTCTACTACATTACTGTGTCACAGTTTACCCATTCTCCTAGTGACAATCATTTAGCTTGTGTACAACTTGCTATTACAGACATTTTTGTAGGTGTCTCCTAAGGCATGAGTAGTTAAGAGGCCTGGCCAGGGTGGCTCAGCTGATCGGAGCATCATCCTGTACATCACATGTGTCAAACACAAGGCCCGCGGGCCAAATTCGTCCCTCCAGGCCTTGCAATGTGGCCCGCACTGCGATGTCATCACTGCACTCCGCTGCGTTTCCATCACAATGACAGTTTATGACTGTTCAGTAAACCATTCGGCCCGCAATTTAGGCTGGATTTTAGATTTTGGCCCCTTCTCTGATTGAGTTCAACACCCCTACTGTACATCAAAAGGCTGCAGGTTTAATCCCCAGTCAGGGCACATACCCAGGTTTTGGGTTCATTCCCTGATATGGGTGCATATGGGAGAACCAATCGATGCTTCTCTCTCACATCAATGTTTCTATCTCCCTCTCCCTTCCTCTTCCTCTAAAACCTATATATATAAAAGCCCGAGTGACCGATTGACTGGTCAACCGGTTGCTATTATGTCACTGACAACTAGGGGACAGGATTGGGCTCCCTCCTGTCTGGATCAAGCCTGTGGGGATAAGGCCAAAAGTGGCTGACATTCCCCGAGGGGTCCCAGATTGTGAGAGAGCGCAAGCCAGGCTGAGGTACTCCACCGGCTGCACAAATTCATGCACCAGGTCTGTAGTAATAATAATAAATAAATAAAAGTGCTGGCTGATTTGGTTCAGTGGATAGAGTGTTGTCCCACAGACTTAAGTGTCCTGGATTCGATTCCAGTCAAGGGCATGTACCTTGGTTGCAGGCTCGATCCCTACCCTGGTCAGGGCGCTTATTGGAGGTGACCAATCAATGTGTCTCTCTCACATCCATGCTTCTCTCGCTTTGTCTCCCCCTTCCTTCCACTCTCTAAGAATCAAAGGAAAAATATCCTAGGGTGAGAATTAGCAACAATGAAAAATAAAGAGAAAAAGAATTTCTCTAGGGTAGGTAAACTTGTTTTGTAAATAATCAGATAGTGAATATTTTCAGCTTTGTGAGCTAAGAGGTAAAAAAAGAGTATGCACTTATATAATCAGAGAAAATAAGTTTTAAAAAATTCAAAACTTTATTTATGGACATTGAAATTTGAATTTCATATGAATTTCATGTCATGAAATGTTATCTTTTTTTGAAAAAAATTTTCAAACCATTTGAAACTGCTGCGTCAAAGCACGGGACACATCCAGGCTTTTGACAGGTGTCTCCATGTCGCCCTCCAAGGTGACTGAACCGGCTGGCCCTCCCACCAGCGAGGAGTTCGCTTTGCCACAATGTAAACCAACCACATTTTGTGCCCCCCCCCTTTTTTTTGTAAGCAAACCCCTTCCCTCCCCACCCCCCGCCATTTGCATCAGGGCATCATCTGAAAACTGCCTGGTGCAGAGGGCCTCTGGTCCTTTCTGTCCGCAGGACCAGGCTGATGCTAACGTCCCCAGGTCCCCCATCACCGACCCATCTTCCTCTCCACAACCTGAAGCCCATCAAGAAGAGCAGCAAATCATTTCTCAGGAACCAGGACCTAACAAATGCCCCTCACAGCTTACGTGGGGGACAGCAAAAGAATAAGCCTGACCTTCCAAGTGGTCCATAAAATAAATAACATCCTTCATTTTGACAGAGAAAATTGCTTTAAAAACATTACAAGATTCTGCCCTGGCTGAGTGGCTCAGTTGGTCGGAGCATTGTCCCAATACCCAAGAGTTTCGGATTTGATCCCTGGTCAGGGCACATACCAGGTTGATCCCTGGTCAGGAGTCAACCAATGAATACATGAACGGGTGGAACAACAGATCAATCTTTCTCTCAAAATAAAACCAAAACCCCACATGCTTCTGATTCACCTTGAGGACAAATCGAGCTTTGCAGGAGCTGTATTTGGAGAAAACGTTAAAGCCTTTGATAAACCAGAAACCTCAGCTGACTAGCAAGTAAGGAGACTTCCCTGGCTGGTGTGCCCCGTTCCTTAGAGCAGGGCTGGGACTGTGGGAAGTGAGCACCAGGAATATGCTAACAGGCTCTTCCATGTGGCTGAAGGCCCGCAGGTGACCTGCAGATCCCCATCATCCCCGCCCCCGCCCCCGAGCACTCAGCTCTCTCTCACCCCGACTTCAGGCAGGTCACGCAGAGCAGCCTGGGAGGACACCAATTCCCGTTAAGAAACGCTAAGGTTTTTTGTTTGTTTTCTTTCCATCTGGGATAATGCTGGCTCGGGTGGGAAAGGATGAAAAACAGGATGGGCCAGTGAGATAACCGGATCAGAGGAAATTAGAAAGTCTTCCTTCTTTTGACATATGGTCAGTGAAGTCCCTGAATATCCAACTCCAGCCCTAGCCAGTGATGCTCCGTTGGTTGGAGTGTTGTCCCCTGCACCAAAGGTCTTGGGTTTAATTCTCCCTCTCCCTCTCACTTCCTCTTTCTCTAGGATTAAGGAAAAACATATATTTGGGTGAGGATTAAAAAAAACAACAACTTAACTCCATTTGTGTGAGAAATGGCAGGAGCCTAAATGGAAGGGGGAGTGGCTACTTTTCCCCTTTAGGCTTAACTCTGACTGTGGTGTTTTCATTGAAAACATATGGCCTGGGGCCTCGGGAACTGGGCTCCTGGTTGAACAACTTCTTAATGATTCTGGCTGCTATATAAGGGACATTTCAGATTTGATTTTCTACTTAACCAGCAGGAGGAACAGATGCCTGCATTCTAGAGGGAATGGGGGAAGGATCTCTTTTTTATTTTTTCAGTTAAAGTTCTAGTCAATGGCAGAACATTGCTGCTGAGAGATTCCTTCTTGAATCAGGGACCAGTTCTAAGACCAGACCCACCCACTGAGGACTTTGCCAAATGTGTGGGCACCTCTGGAATATGGAACTGAGACCTTATAGGCCGAGTCTTGCTGGTGGCATACCTGATGTGGTTTTAAGGAGAGGAGGATTCCCACTCACCAATCTTTCTGCATTCCACTCACACAAAGGAATCTGCAGGCAAATCACGGCCTGTCTGGGCTGACTTGGGGGAGTCGGGCTGCCAACATTCTGGGCCAGCCTTACCCCTTGGCCTACAACAACCGGGGGTTGGTCAACATTCCCACTGTGAAAAGAGGTGGCTGGCCTGGGGGTTGGAGGTCTCAGTTTTGCCTCTAGGCTGAGGGTCTGAGCATCAGACTATGGAACTGAGCCACCTTCTGCCTGGCTCTGGCCCAGGCCAGCCCAAGCTTGATCTCTGGAGACCTAGGAAAAGCCAGCTCCTTTCCCCAGCTCCACAAGGCAGGCACATCTTCTGAATTTTCTGGCTAAACGGCCAGCTTCCCCAAAGGCACTCACTGACTTCACAGCCTTCAGCTCACTCTAAAGTTTACCTTCTCTACGTCCTATATATAGCTCTCCTGCCCATGGCCTAGACCTAAAAGAAAATAAATATGCAAGAAGTCAAAGTTATGCTGGATTTTTTAAATCGAGGCATTTATTACACCAAATAATGTAATTATTAAATATGCTAAAGGTAGACAGAAGCAACTTTTTTATTCTCAGGCAAAGACATTAGAAAACCCACCAGAAAAATGCCTCTCTATGGGCGTTTGCCTGTTCCAAAGATGACCAGCCAGCCAGCCAGACTGCTGAGGAACAGAGGCCACAGGAGATCCAGACCAGTGCTGGGTCCTGCCAGGAAAGGGGCCCCATACCCACAGCCAAGCCTTGGGGACCTTCCCCCAAGTACATCTCTACCAGTGCCATCTTCAGGTCTCAGCTAAAAGTGGGTTGCCAGGCAGGACCGGTGGCAAGAAGCAGTCTGAATCGAAAAGAACCTGTTTTCATTGCTTACTCTATAAAAAAATTTTTATGTTCCTGGCAAGATATTGAGTTTGCAATGCAACTTCCACCTCTGAGAAAAGACCCTGAGTTTTAGGGCAGGAAGTAAATTACTTGTGAGTTGGGAAATGAGAGAACAATATGATCTCTGCCTATTACTCCTCCAGTGGGGGTATCAGGTGGAGTAAAAGAATCCTGTTTGGCCGAAACCCATTTGGCTCAGTGGATAGAGCATCGGTCTGCGGACTGAAAGGTCCCAGGTTCGATTCCGGTCAAGGGCATGTACATTGGTTGTGGGCACATCCCCAGTTGGGGGAGGGAGGGTGCAGGAGGCAGCTGGTCGATGATTCTCATCGACGTTTCTAACTTTCTATCCTTCTCCCTTCTCTCTAAAAAATCAATAAAATATATTTTAAAAAAAAAGAATCCTGTTTGGCTCAAATTATTGGGTTAAAGGGGGAAATTACAAAAAGAAAAATATTTTAGCTCTATAAAGTACAAATTTACTTTTCATGCATAAAAAGAGGCTGCGTGCTTCCTGCCTGACTGGCCTTACAATTTACACTCCTGGGGAAAGGAAAGGCATTAGGGGAAAGGGCCTGGCCTTGTGGGCTGGACCTGAGTCCTGAGGGGTCCCAAGGTCAGTCCTTCCTGACAGACAGAGTCATGCTGCCAGAGGCAGAAGAGATGAACACATATTTGCTGCCAGCCAGGGCCCATGCTGGCCCACTGGGTCCCCACAGAGAACCAAGCACATGCACATGATGCATTAAATCACCCGGAGGGGGCTAAGTCCCAGCTCCAGCTGGGGCCCTGAGCCACACGTGGGAATGCCAAAACAGCCCCTATATGGGCAAACGCAAGCAGGTACGAGGCTTGTTGAATTAGGGCAGGTGAGGCATGGATGTGAGAGTTATTAATTCCATATCATCTGGACATGATTGGCAGCTCCTTGCCTCCAGAGGCCCGGGGCCAGGCCCATGCAGTCAGGGCGGGGTGTGTATGAGTGTCAGCACTCTGTAACAGAATGGGAGGAACAGGGCCTGCCTGGGGTCCAGTGGCTGCTGGGGACCGGATGCATGTGAATGCAGGCCACTGGGGAGGGGGTGGCAGGCCCTGGCCCGTCTCCATGCTTGGGCGAACTGGAGGACAAGTGGGACCCCAAAAAGTAGAGACTTGGGAAGAGGAAATGCTGATTAGCTGTGAAGGTGGCAGCAAGTAATCGGTGGGCAGAACCCATGGAGCCCAAGAAAAGGGGCCTCTGGACACACAAGGACACTGAGTAGGGAATCAAGGTGAGGGAGGTGACTGCTAGGTTCTCATCATTTGTTCAAGTGCATGAATTTAAATTCAGAAGTTGCTGGCCTGCCTAAGCACTGTACTGCTAGATTTGTCCTGTAGAGGGCGCTCTGACACCAGAAAATAGGCTCACTCATCCCAAAACCAGGGATGCAGCTTCCAAAGGGGCTCCACAGAAGCCTGTGCCTACGTGCTGGTTACCAGTGTAAACATTCACAGTATTTCCAGAGAAGGCAGTGGCTGCCTGTCACCCAGGGAGACAGCCTTCGAGGTGCCAATCAGAGGTAAAGAAGAAAAAGGTCAGTTTTTCTTTCTCAGGGTGTGCAAGCAACATCACAAAGGGGAGTGTGAGGTTTTCAAGGTTTCTGGGCCTGCTACGTAGGTCAGAACTGCTGATGCTGAGGCCCAAGGCACCTTGATGATGATAAGGAAACTGGCAGCTGGCTCCTCGCCCTGCCCGCCCCTAGGGTCATGATGATGGCGTTAGCTGGGAATGGCTAGCCAGCGTTCCCCCGAGGACACCCAGTCACAGCAGCTTCCACAGCAGGATTCCTCCTCCCAGGCACCTGGGCCGGCCAGATGACTGTGTGCCTTGGCTGCAGAAGCAAAGGAAACATTTACCTGCACAGGTTTCCGTCTAATCTGCAGGCTGGGAGTGAGGCTGTGAGCAGAGGGCTGGCTGGGTGGGGAGTGGGAGAGGACTTGTTTCAGAAGCCAGCTGGCCTGGCTGGTCCGGGAAAGAAGGCAGCACCTTGGCTCCACCCTCTTTCATCTTCCTGACGAGCCCGCCAAATGCGCGCACCTCAGGGGCCCTTGCTGGGTGTCCATCCGGAGACGTGGGGAGGCCCTGCTCGGTCACAGCAGCTCCTGCTCCTCGTCCTCAGAGCCAGAGGGGCCCTGGCGCACCTCCTCGTACCACTTGTTGGTGAGGGTTTTCATCTGGATGCGCCCGTGGTGGAGGTCCTGAGGTGGAATACAAGCAACCTGGTGGGTCAGGGCCAAGGAGAGGAGAGGAGCAGCTTTGTACCTCGTGTGTGTGTGTGTGTGTGTGTGTGTGTGTGTGTGTGTGTGTGTGAGAGAGAGAGAGAGAGAGAGAGAGAGAGAGAGAGAGAGTGAGGGAGCGAGGGAGGAGGGGATAGGAGGCAGGGTGCAGAGCCATAAGCAATTTCAGAGTGTTAAGTAAGTGAACTGAGCTTCTTTGTGGGGGTGGAGATAACAGGAGGTGTCACTCAGAACCAGGAGGAGTAGGAGGCAGATGGCATGATGTTAAAAACAGTGGCTCTGGAATCAGACACACTCGGGCTCTGCTCCAGCTTTGCCTTGCACTGGCTGCGCGACCTCAGGGGGCTACCTTACCTCTCTGGGCCTCAGCTCCCCGGAGAGGTAAGGTAGGACACCAGCTGCCTCTGCTGCACGGGTTGTTGGAAGAATGAACCGAAGCAATCGTGAACACCATTTGGTGTGGCGCCTGGCTGGCTGTAAGAGCTTACGTATAGCACCGTGACTGTCAGGAGGGAAATGGGGCTCAGAGACAAAGGGGGGCTACAGCCAGGAGAACCACACCCCAAAGGGGCTGGATGACTGGTTCAGCAAAGTAGGTTCAAGCTGGTCCCCATTAGACTGCCTGTCACCCAGAGACTGGCAGTGCTGAAAGGATGGAACAAGAGCCTGCGGCCCTGGCATGTCTGAAATTCCTCAGCTCAGATTCAGTAGCTGATCAATGTCCTGAGTCCTATCATCCAGGAAAAGCAAACTGTGTTAGCAAGTCTATTATTAAACCAGCACTAAATCCGGTAGCAAAGGAAAAACAGCAGATGGGATCCTGGGAAGGAGAGCCAAGTGGGAGGAGGCGGCCTGGCTGCCTCTCCCCAACACAGCATGTGGGCCTTCCCTGCCCCCACTCCCGGCCTCTGAGGGAGGCAGGTTTCCCACCTCCTGGGTCAGCCGCCGTGTGAAGAATGGGTTCAGGTACTTGACATCCAACCACAGGAAGCCTTTGAGGTCCTGCCGCCTGATGTAGTGGGCTTCATACTCCTCCTCGGTGAGCTCCGACAAGTGCTCCGACTCCACTGTGTTGCCCTGAGGGGGAAGGAAGGCAGCTGAGGGTCAGTAATGGGCTGACATCTTCCTGGAAGCCCCCACAGCACCCAGCCTACCTAGCACCCCTTCACCCCTGCCACCAGGATCCCCAACCCTCACTGCACTTCCTAGTCAATCAGTGTGTCTGTGGGTAGCAAAGGGCTTCCTGGGAGCCTGTAGGGAGGTAGGGAGGTTTGTAAAAACATGATGGATACCCAGGAACAAATCAGAATTGTGAATAAATCAGAAGTTCTGGGCTGGGGCTGGGCTTGGTTTGTAAGCTTCTGGATTTTAATGTGCAGATCAGTGCCAGAGAGGGAAGGGGAGAGTAGTGGGAGGACAGGAGACATACAGACACAATCCCAGCGGGAACCAGAGAGGAATGAAGAGAATGACTACACATGGCGCAGAGCAGGTCTGAAAGGCAAGTAGGTCTCAGGTTCACTGATCTACTCAGCCCTGCTCCGGCCTCTGCAGAGCCCACCATACGGGTTGTGAACAGTGTTTGCTACTTTCCAGCCACAGACAGCTAACTGGGCTTCCACTGGGGAGCCCTGGCGTCTGGGGCAGGTGTAAAGGGCTTGAGAATCCACAGAATGCTGGGCCCACTTGCAGGGCTGATTTAGGAGGTCTGGGATGGGGCCCAAGAATCTGTATTCCTAACAAGTCTCCAGTGATGCTGCTGGTCCAGGAGCCCCACCTTGGGGACCATTGGTGGAGACTGGCAGTTAAGAGTGCAGGCTCTGGAGTCTGTGTGATTTGGCCTCTGTGTGCCTCAGTGCTCTCATCTGCAAAATGGGCATGATGAGATCCTCTACTTCCTGCTGGCATGGGTGACCTGAGACAGTTAAGGAGCCTCATGCACAGTGCCAGTGCCACAGGACATCCCTTGAACAGTATGTGCTTCCTCTGAGCAAACATCCTGCTTCCACTATACCCAGGGTGGTAGATTCACCAAGTGTGGCTGCAGGATCAGCACCCGGCAACCCGTTAGAAATGCAAATTCTTTCTAGCCCACCCAGACCTGTTGGACCCTGGAGCCCTTCACCAATTCTGACCCCACTGAAAGGTCTCAGAACCTACACTAAAACTTTTATTAAAAACAAAGTTTGGCCCTGGCCGGATGGCTCAGTTGGTTGGAGCATCGTCCAATATACCAAAAAAAGGTTGCGGGTTTGATCCCAGGTTAAGTATGGGAGGCAACTGATTGATGCTTCTCTTTCACATCGATGACTCTCTCTCTGTCCTCTCCTCTCCTCTCCTCCCCCCACCACTTCCTCCCACCTCCCTCTCTTCCTTCCTCCCTAAAATCAATAAACATATCCTTGGGTGAGGATTAAAAAACAACAACAGCCAGAACCGGTTTGGCTCAGTGGATGGAACGTCGCGGTCTGCAGACTGAGGGGTCCCAGGTTCGATTCCGGTCGAGGGCATGTATTATACATTGGTTGCGGGCACATCCCCGGCAGGGGGTGTGCAGGAGGCAGCTGGTCGATGTTTCTCTCTCATCGATGTTTCTAGCTCTCTATCCCTCTTCCTTCCTCTCTATGGAAAATCAAGAAAATATATTTAAAACAAAACAAAACAACAACAACAAAACAAACAACAAAGTTGGCGAGTGGGGGTGGGGGAGAAAGACCGCTGAGAGGAGGAAGGTTGAGCAGCCCAACATGAGGTCACCTGAAAGTTCCTTTCCAGCAGCAGAGACTAGAGACCAAGATCTGCCCAGATCTGGACTTTCAGAGGGAGAAGTGGGCATATCCCCTTTCTCTATCTCCTGGTTGAGGATCGCTGTGCCATCCAAGACTAACTCAAGTGACTGATGGCCTCCAATAAGGCAACTGGAAAAAGATGCATTTCTGGAAATTCATTTGGAGGAATGGTGGGTGCACAGAGGTGGGAGGAGAGACTAGGGCGGCCTTTGCTCCTGTCAGAGTCTGGCTCAGCACAGGGGCCAGAGGGGGGACACAGGGTGGGAAGACATGGCCACAGCTGACTTGGGAGGGGTGGCCCACAGGCAGGAGCAGCTGCCAGGCAGGAGGGTGGCTTGGAGGAACAGAGGTGGACAGTGGTATGGGGACCTCAGGTTCACTGCAGCTGGGCCCTGGGCACCTCAGCCCCAATCAGGCCCTTGTCTGGCCTCAGTGGAGGACACCTCTCTCATGGCCCTCAAAGCCGCTGTAAGCACCTTCCTCACTCAGGCCCAACAGGAGGCATTCAGTAGACATTGGGGAATGATAGGATTTTGAAACCTTTCAGGCCTGGGCGGCTGCTGGCAGGGGAGGCGTGTTGCTGGGAGAGGCTGATACAGGTCCACCCCCCTGACCTTCACGGCTGCACCAGGCCACGAGGCTGGCAGATAAACTACCACAAAGAGCCACGCTTCAGAACCTCAGTTCACCCCCTTGTCAGGTTGGGCAACTGCATGTGCATGGGGGGGGTGTGTGTAGGGGCTGAGCATCCTCAAATTGTTCCCATTTCCCCATTTCCCAGCAGTCATTGGGGACAACCCTCTGCCTGCTCTGGGCCCACCACGCACTAACCATCTTCTCTGTCTTGCTGAGGTTGACATCCTTCTTGCTCCGGCGGCGCGCCTTGGCGTCCTCGATGTCCATGAGGCGGATGAGGGGCATGGTGCTGCCGCCCAGCAGCAGGATGGTGAAGAGCACGATGATGATGGTGGTGGTGCCGATGAGCTGCCGCTTCTCCATGGGCTCCAGGTCCAGGTGCAGGCTCAGGGCGTAGGGGATGGCACCCCGCAAGCCTAGGGCGACAGTGAAAGGAGTAAGAGGACGGATGGAAGGAGGAGAGGCAGCGGCACCCTGAGCCCGTTCTCAGAGGACCTAGGACGGCCCAGGGTCATGGGCCGTCAAACATCCTAACAGAAGCCCTGGAGAGCAACAACTCATCCTGTGAGGCGCTGGGGTGTGAGAAAGCAGGCCACAGAGAAGGGGCCCACTGCACCAGGGGCCTGAGCAGATCAAATGAGGTGCCCTGTCCAGGCTGTGAAGCAACGTGTGTGTGTGTTTGTGTGTGTGTCAAGCCCAACACCTCCCTGAGTATGAGCCAGGCATGTGCTAAGTGCTCTGCCTGCATGATCTCATTTGCTGTTCCCAGGAAACCCTGTAAAGCAGGTCCTATTATTCTACAGATGAGGAACCGAGACAGAGAGCAGTGTCCTCCCAGGGCCACACAGCTTGGCAGGCAACAGCACGTGCAATTTGTCCGGCGCCTCCCAAGTGGCTCCCGGCAGCACTGACAGCCGGGAACCTATATTCCTTTTAGCTCGTGAAACACACTTGTTTTCAAAGGGCTCTAGCCCGTGAGCCCTCTGCCTGGTGTGTGCCTTTGTAAGAGGTATCTTCCCTCCACTGTTCATTCCAGATTAGACTTACCACTAAACCACATGATGAACATCATCTTCGGGGTGATTTTATGATCACGGAAGAAATTCAGAAGGTAGGAAAGAGGGAAAATGTTCACTGCTCTGCCAAACAGTACAAGCACCTGTTAACAGCAACAAACCAAGTCTTAGATGGAAAGCTCTGGTTCTTTAAGCTGAAGCTTGCTGAGGCTGACACAGGCCTCGCAGCACACCCACTCTAAACAGGCATCCCCTCCCTTATGAAGGGCGCGAGTAACAGTGCTAGTCAGAAACCCGGCTGGGGTTGCCTGGTTTGTGTGTCTGGGAAAGGATAATGCTTTTTACATCACATCTCAGTCATCAGAAAGAGAGGACAACAGCGATGGCTTTAGTAATGACAGCAGAACAGGACCGAATGCCAAGAGGCCATGCGGAAGTACCCAGAAATTATTTAATTTAAGGGCAATCTAACTCCTCCAAAGGTGCTGCACCATGGGACAGGGCTGTGCTAATCACTCCCAGTGGGCTAGCTCTGGAGGCGCGAACAGGTGTTCCTGCCTCTCCCATGGGGACCCTGCTCCTCGGGGGAAGGAGAGAAGACTGAGAAGGGCCAACCTATACGCAAACATTATTCCCTGAGCAAAAGGAGCACACAGGCAGGTTTTAAAAGATCACACAACCCAGCTACGGCCATGGCTTTGGGTTCCTAATCATTTCCAAAGGCATGTTGGTCTTAACAAAATACAGCTTTATGTGGTTCAAATCTTATCTAAGTGGATACTTAGAGCTACTTATTAATTAACTCAATTTTTTAATCTTGAAAAGGATAATATACACACGTACATCCTGTAGGCTCTAAGTTTATCCTTTTAACCAGCATGGATTGAGTGTGCTTTAGAGTGTGCATGCCTTAAATGGTCAAGTTAATAATGGCTCCCAATCATCTAACATTTATATGTCAGACAATGTGCTAAGCATTTTATATGCATTGTATCTTGTTAAATTTAGATCCCTGCAATGGTCTTATAAAGTAGGTATTTCTGTCTCCATTTTGGAGACAAAGGGACAGAGACAAAGAGAGGTTAAGTAACTGGCCCAAGCTGATCCCGGCAGGAAGTGGTGGAGCCAAGTCTCAAATCTGGTTCTGTCCCCCAAACCCATGCCTTTGGCCACTGAGCCAGTGTAAAGTAACCCATTCGAAAAGCATAGGCTGCCCCGAGGAGGGGCAGGGCCAGCCTAGGTGCTCAGAGAAAACCAAGTCACCACCCCAGGGCATCTTCTCCTTCTCCTTTTCCTCCCAGCCCATGGCTGACACAGTCACTCCCTGTTTCACCCGCTGCAATCCAACCTCCCCATCTGATACTTGCATTTCAGGTTTCACCAAAGGTGGCTCCGTTTACCAGAGACCACACTAAAGACTATTATATTTTCTGAAAAGACTTGCTTCTGTCCTCTTGTCCTGAAACTGGAGTTTGGAGGACAGATAACAATACAAAAGCCACACGCTCTTGCCGATGGAGGTGGAAGCATCCAGGTTTTAAGGAGAAACATCTTTTTCTTAGGGCTCCTTATCTTTTCCGAGTCTCACTTTCCCCACAGGCCAAACAGGTAGACCTCTCTGGTTTGCACATGGTAGATGACTGTGCAAAATAAAAACTTAGACTCTCAATAGCTATGCTTTATTAAGTGGAGCTGGTAATAATAGTTAACTGAAGATGAATTACTGTATAATAATTCAAATGTAACAAGGCATACTTCTTAAGTACCTTAAAGTAACATAGGATCTAAAGGGACAACAAAGATCAAATTAGGGATTGGAGTCTGAATCGGCTGGAGGGCCTCCGGGAGATGAGCTCACTCTGAGGGAAGAGACACAGAGAGGAAGACAGGCAAGCAACCTGGGGAGCCCAGGCCAAATGCCCAAACTGTTAGCAGTCATGTCACTTTGATCAGATGCCTGAGAGAGCTGGGCCTTTCTTTTATTTTCTAAATGTTTTTACTGATTTTAGAAAGAGAAAGAAAGGGAGAGGGAGATGAGAGAGAACATCAATCGGCTGCTTCCTACATTCTCCCTACTGGGGATCGAGCCTCCGATAGGGGCATGTGCCCTGACCAGGAGTCAAACCAATGACTTCTTGGTGTATGGGATGATGCTCAACCAACTAGGCCATACTGGCCAGAGCTGGACCTTTCTTTTAAATGCTAAACTTTTATTTTTTCCCACAAGGACTTGGTTCTTCTACAAATGATTAATCTTCTACTTTCCTTTTTTAGAGATGTATTTTAATGTGTCTCCTGCTGCCATGCCCAGTCCAACTATAACAGTTTTCCAAACCTTCTTGTTAGGAAGAATCACCTGGGATGAGTACCCTGGAGGAAACGCCAGGGGAACTAGGGGCCTAGTAATCTTTACACAATGCAAAAGGTCAAGCTTATGAAAGGACATCTGAAGAGAACTACAGTAAGAAATACATGCATTATAAATTATCCAGAAAGCATAGAAAAGAAAAAAAATCATCCTCAGTTCTACACACACTGGGAACATTTGGTGAAATTTTCTTTTTCTATGCATAATGTTTTTACATAGTTATGCTCAATTACATATTCAATGTTAAAATTTGCTTTTACCTCGGAACATAAAAACACATACGATGTGCCTTTAAAAGAAGACCATGTCATTTAAGGCCATTTAAAATTTAAAAAGAAGTAAAAATCCTTTTCCGGGATATGCATTCACTTAATTCCACACCTTTATTGTATGTTTGTGATTTTGTAACAACAAAAAAACTTCAACATAAGAATGTCTATGTAGCTGTTGACTTTGAACAGTTAACAGTTACATAAATGAATCCAGAACATGTGGTCACTGAGCTATGAATAAGTAATTAAATAAAAAACAAGGAAAATACTTACTATGCACCAGACGACAAAGGAAATTTCAAACTTGTGAGGGAAACTAAAAATGGACAGGCCAAGAAATGCAAACACACATGTTTCTGAAACAAACCAAAGAATGGATTATTTAGCCCAGACTATTTTTTCCAATACAGTACTAAATTGTTAAGCAAGCAAACATTCACAAGTCAGTCAGAAACACTGCATATTTTCTGAAACATCTGCAACCAATCCCTGGTGAAACTAGTACTGTGATTATCTCATTTTTCTCTATCATACAAGCAACATGTGCTTGCTATTCTGAATCTCCTAATTTAATGAGGCAACTGTCACATACTCGTGTAAATAAGTACTCAGTCTCTTTGCTGAGCACTGTGATTAGCAAGGATCCCGACGGCTGGCAAAGTGACACAATTCATCGCAGACACCACCTGACCAGTGTGAAAGGGCCCTTTGTTATCGTCCTTGCCAGAGCGGACAAAGCCAAGTGACTGACCTCATGTATTGATATTTAATACCACCCCAGGTTTAGGAGACAGCTCACAGCCTGCAGCATTTGCAGGAAGGAGTACATTTCCAGCTCTGGGCTCCACCCCACAAGAGTCCGACATTCATGCTCATTGTACAAGCCGTTGCTATGTATCCCAAAGATACATTTCCACCACCAGGCTCCTTGCTTTATTTTTTAATATATATATTTTTATTGATTTCAGAGAGGAAGTGAGAGAGAGAAATGTCAATGATGAGATAGAATCATTGATTAGCCAATGATTGCATGGCCTCTTGCATGCCCCCCACTGAGGATCGAGCCTGCAACCCGGGCATGTGCCCTAGACTGGAATCAAACCCAAATCAAACCAGGAACCCTTCCATCCACAGGCTAATGCTCTATCCATTGAACCAAACCAGCTAGGGCTAGGCTCCCTGCTTTTATTGAGATGCCCCAGAACAGCCTCATAACCAGGGAGAAAAGACTGTATTGCAAAACAGTTGAGTATTATAATATAGCAAGGCTGTTTTAAAACACTTTGCCCACACTGTTTTCCTTCAAATGTGTATCCTTTTAAAATAAGTCACAAGCTGGACAGTAGATTCATTCCTCTCCTCCTTGAATTTTTCCTTGAGCCATTAATATTTTTTGTGATCTTTCCAAATTCTCATTTAGGTACTTTTGATGTCTACATTATGCTTTTCTCTGGCAGCATAAATTCTACTGTACAGGATTGGGCAAAAGTACATTTACAGTTGTGAGTAACATGAGACACAGAATTTATTTTTGTATTATATTAACTAGAGGCCCAGTGCATAAAATTCGTGCATGAGGGAGGGGGAGGGGGTATCCCTCAGCCCAGCCTACACCCTCTCCAATCTGGGACCCCTTGAGGGATGTCCAACTGCCTGGTGGGACTGGAACTAAATGGGCAGTTGGATATCCCTCTCACAATCCAGGACTGCTGGCTCCCAACCACTCACCTGCCTCTGCCTGATTACCCCTAATCGCTTCTGCCTGCCAGCCTGATCATCCCCTTACCAATCCACTGCCAACCAGATCAATGCCTAGCTGTTCCCCAGCCGGCCCGATTGCTCCTAAATGCCCTCCCCTGTCAGTCTGGCTGCCCCTAACTTCCCTCCCCTGCAGGCCTGCTTTCCCCCCAACTGTCCTCCCCTGCAGGCCTGCCCCCCATCACCCAACTGTTCTCCTTTGCAGGTCTGCCTCCCCCAACTGTCCTCTCCTGCAGTCCTGTTCCCTCCCAACTGCCCTTTCCTGATGACCTGGTCACCCCCAACTGCCCTCCCCTACAGACCTGGGTCCTCCCCCCCCAACTGCCCTCCCTTGCTGGCCTGGTCTCCCCCAACTGCCCTCCTCTGCTAATGTGGTCACCTCCAACTGTCCACAACTGCCCTCCCCTGCCAGCAATCTTGTGGTGGCCATCTTGTGTCCACATAGGGGCAGCCATCTTTGACCATATGGGGCAGCCATATTGTGTCTTGGAGTGATGGTCAATTTGCATATTACTCTTTTATTAGATAGGATTACTAGAGGCCCAGAGCACGAAATTTGTGCATGGGTAGGGTCTCTAGGCCTGGCCAGTAATCAGGGCTGATCTGTGGGGAGACTGGTGGGACAATTGGGCGAACCCTGCTGACACTCACCTTGGCTGGCCTGGGGCCTTGTGAGCTGGGGCAGCTTCTGTGTTGAGCATCTGCCCTCTTGTGGTCAGTGCACATCATAGCAACCAGTTGTTCCACTGGTTGTTCTGCCATTCAGTCAATTTGCATATTAGGCTTTTATTATATAGGATTGTATTATTTTCCATAAGAACAACTGTAAACCTACTTTTGTCTAATCCTGTATCGGTATGTCATGGCTAATTTAATGAATCCATTGTCAATGCTTATTGACTATTTCTATTTCTTATATTACAAACTACAATAAGCATCCCTGTGCACAGGCAAAATCCTGGTAGGATTGTGGGTCCAAGAGCTAATGCCTTTTAAACTCAGACATACTGCAAATGACTCCAAAGAAATGGCATCAGTACACATGCACATCAACAGCCTGTCTTATATATACCTGTGCCAGAGTGGGTATTATCAAATTTAACATTAACTTATCTGATGGGTTCAAAACAGAATTTGATGGATTTGTTTTCCACTCCTTTAATGGTGAGTCAGGGTCCAAGTCTTTAGCCATGACTTTCTGAGAGCGGTGCTATGGAAAAAATACCTGCTGAGCCAGAAGAGACAGACCTGGCTTCAGAGTCACTTCTGAACCATGCAACTGTGGACAAGTCATTTGACACCTGAGCCTCCTTATCCATGGACTGAAGTCTAAACAGCCTGTCCCTGCCTCCTATCTAGCATGTGACAGTGTGGAACTCACACTTCAACATGAGACAAATCCCATTGAAATGCCAGGGGAGATGCTGATGGTGACAGCTAGGACACAGCCACTTGGGCACCAGTGCAAAGCGACAGTGTGAGAGTGGTTCCTTCATGGGCCAGGCATAAACTAAGAAGGGGGTACATGGGGGAACCAGTCATCCTGGTGTACCCCAGCCCAACAATGATACCTCCCTTAATTAGGTCTTTCAAGATGCTCCTATGGACAAGTTTGGGAAATGCTGTTACTACATTCTTCTCTCAGAAGTTCACAATGCACGCTGCTTAAAAGTCCTGCAGTTCAGAAACTTAAACTTTATCCCAGGATTTCCCACACTCTTTATTCACTTAACCCTCACCAATATCTGTTCCAAGGAAAACATTTTTGGAAATGTGACTTTAATATATTAATATGCATGAGACTCAAATGTTCATAATTAGTAGCTTTCATTATTTTTGGTTTTAAAATTGTAGGCAGCAAATATTCCATTTATTAAGTATTAGGTTTACTTTATGGAATTTGAAAGCCAGAGTAACAAACAAAAGACAAGGGAGTTCAAGTCTGGCTCTGAGGATCCTGCTGCCTCTTCTGCCAGGGAACAACTGGACTCCTCAAACGGGGTAAGAAGAACCAGCAGCTCAGGGAAGGCCCACGCCAGACCCCCGAGAACTCACCGCACAGGAAGGCCACGGTCCGGAGGGTCTGCTGCATGAGGATCTGGGTGACCGGGGACAGGTTATGGTGCGTGTAGTGGGACATCACGATGCCTGAGAACAGGATGGCCATGATGCCTGGAGAGGGACAGTGGGGCACCCAGACATGAGCAGAGCAGAAAAGCACCTACCATATGATCCACAAACATGTCACACTTCCCACAAGCCCCTGGAGCCTATCGTGTCAGCTGTTTTAAGAAAAAGGAGCCTGGCCAGCGAGGCTCAGTGGTTGAGCATCGACCTATGAACCAGGAGGTCAGGGCACATGCCCAGGTTGTGGGCTTGATCCCCAGTGTGGGGCGTGCAGGAGGCAGCTGATCAGTGATTCTCTCTCATCATTGATGTTTCTTTCTCTCTCTCCCTTTCCTTTCCTCTCTAAAACCAATAAAAACATACTCTTAAAAAAAAGAAAAAGAAAAAAAAAAAAAAAGGAAATAATACCTGAGGCCTACCAGAGACTGCAAAGAAATGCTAAGGGGCCCTTCTCTCTGATAGCTTCTTTCGGCTGGCTGATCTTAAGCCAAATTCCCACACCCTCATCCAAGCCTTAGTTTTCTCATCTGTATAATGTAACTAAGAGTACCCACTCTTGAAATGTATTATTTTCCATATGAACAACTGTAAATCTACTTTTGCCCAACCCTGTATTGGTATGTCATGGCTAATTTAACGAATCTTTTGTCGATGCTTATTAACTGTTTCTGTTTCTAATCTTCATTACCCTGTTAGGAGGGTAATGAAGAATAGCCATGCAAAGTGCCCATCACAGGATAGGTGTGTGCTGTCACTGTATCCACAGATAGGAGGAAGACGAGCCTCTCAGAGAGCATAAGAATCTGGGTAGCCCTAGTCAATTTGGCTCAGAGGCAGAGCATCAGCCTGAGGACTAGAGTCTTGGGTTCCATTCTGGTCAAGGGCATGTACTTTGGTTGCAGGCTCAATCCTGAACCTGGTTGAGGCATGTATAGAAGGCAACCAATCGATGTGTATCCCTCACACTGATGTTTTTCTCTCTGTTTCTCTCCCTCCCTTCTACTCTCTCTAAAAATCAATGGAAAAATATCCTTGGATGAGGATTAACAAACAACAACAAAAAAGAATCGGGGTAGATTTTTATTTACTTTTTTATACTTTCCCTAAAATCACCATGAAATACTCTTTTTATATAGAAAGAGAGATATTACACATAATGTCTTTTCTTTACAACACTTCACGAGAGTCTACAACTTTTGTTGTTTACTGAGGATTAGAGTCTCACCATTTGGTCACTGCCCATAATCACTCCTGCACCACTTTACGAGGGTTTCCTCTCAGAGTGTCCGGGTCTAGGTTCTCTAGTTCATGAAATACAGTTATTAAATAAGCCAAAATATATAAACTGCAAGTCAGACTTTATAAGCAAAATATTAACTCCTTCTGCCACTTTGTAGAAACAGGGATTACTGGTGAACATCCTATATAACAAAAGCCTAATATGCTAAGTGTCCAGTTGTCAGTTCAACCAATCAAGGTATAATATGCTAATAATATATTAAGGTCTCTCAACCGTTCACTATGACATGCACTGACCAGGGGGCAGATGGTTGAACAGTTGACCAGCTGCTATGACGTGCACTGACCATCAGGGGGCAGAAGCTCCAACTGATAGGTTAGCTTGCTGCTGGGATCTGGCCCATTGGGACTGAGTGAGATGCGCCAGTCCCTCCTGGATTGTGCACTGGTGGGGTCCCTCGACCTAGCCTGCTCCTTTCCTCTTAGCAAATAGCAAATTCTTTGCTCTTTCATCTTCCTGTACAAATGATGGGGAACTTTCCAGCAATGCTGCCTATGGGGCTAAATGGGGACTTTCCAGCAATGCTGCCTATAAGCTGCACCAGACAAGATTTGGGAGAAGGGAAGGAGTGGACCATAGACTTCTGTGCTTGCTATTGCAGACCACTGAGAAGACTGCAGCTCAAGAGTCATTCTGAATGATTAATGTGGAGATAAAAAGAACAGAGGACAACAGCCTAGGTGGAGTGGCTCAGTGGTTGAGCATTACCCTATGAACCAGGAGGTCATGGTTTGATTCCCAGACAGGGCACATGCCCAGGGTTGTGGGCTTGATCCCAGTGTGGGGTATGCAGGAGGCAGCCAATAAATGATTCTCTCTCATCATTGATATTTCTCTCTCTCTCTCCTCTTCTCCCTTCCTCTCTGAAATCAATAAAAATATTTAAAACAAAACAAAAAACAACACAGAAAACTTGGAGGTTCTCTCAGTATATTCCTGCAGATGATCACCTGGAGAGCTGACCCTGCCTGCCCTTGCAATAGAGCTATCAGAAGGCAAAGCAAAGGGAGAGGGCAGAAGAGAGCCCAGAACCTGTGTTTGGAACTTGGTAGAGATCAAGGAGGAGAACAGGGTATGACACAGTTCTGTTTTTATGGAACGGGCTTTAGCACTGCAGGCCAACACAGAAAGGTGCTGGCTTCTGGGCTTTCAAAGGACCTTGTTTCACCAGCTTATTTAAGGATGTTTTTATTGATTTCAGAGAGGGAGGGAGAGGGAGAGAGAGAGAGAAATATCAATGATGAGAGAGACTCATTGACTGGCTGCCTCCTGTAGACCCCACACTAGGGATCAAGCCCACCATTGGGGCATGAGCTCTGATAAAAAATTGTCCCATGACCTCTTGATTCATAGTTCGAGGCTCAACAACTGAGCCACGCAGGCCGGGCTACAACGTACTTCCTGAAGCTGAGCCAAACCATAATCAGTTTTGTTAATTACCCAATAATAAACATATTTCACTATAAGACATGCAGGCTCAGAGGTATAGAGCAAAAAGAGTCTCCACAGCACCTTTCCAGAGGTTAACTACCATTAACCATTTGATATGCAGATTTCCAGTTCTCCCACTAAGCCATTAGGAAGCTTATCTTTAAAAAGTAATAAACAGCTGAAACCGGTTTGGCTCAGTGGATAGAGCTTCAGCCTGCAGACTGAAAGGTCCTAGGTTCGATTCCGGTCAAGGGCAGGTACCTTGGTTGCGGGTACATCCCCAATAGGGGGTGTGCAGGAGGCAGCTGATCGATGTTTCTCTCTCATCGATGTTTCTAACTCTTTATCCCTCTCTCTTCCTCTCTGTAAAAAAATCAATAAAATATATTTTAATAAAAAGTAATAAACAGGATGCTGTTAGATATATGTCATGTATTGCTAGCACAATGGATTTTCTTCAAAAGCCTCCAACATTTGCCTTTGCACGATCAGCAGAGTCCCAGGCCTATAGAACCTGCGGGATGGGCTCCTGGCCCCTCCATCTCAGCTGTGTAGTCTTCCTGCTCTTCTGGAGCATGCCTTGCTCCTTCTCCCCTACCTGGGACCCTTAGCACCTACTGTTCCCAGTGCCGCACACCCTTCCCTGAACCCTCTCAGGGCTGGCTCCATCTCACACACAGGTGTTAGCTCTGGGGTGTGTGTGTGTGTGTGTGTGTTATGCCATAATGCTTCTGCCCCCCTGCCACTGTCTATCACATTATTCTGATTTCTTCATATCATTTCTCACTGCCTGAGATTATGCTATGTGCTTATTCATTTGCCTATTGTCTTTCTTCTACAGGTAGGACTTTGATCTTGTCTTGTTCTATAGCCCCGATAAAAGGGCAGTTCTCGGCACAGGGTGCGTATTTAATATTCACTGAATGGATGAATGAGCAGTTTTTTAACTTTCTTAAAAGTTAACAATATTTCTTGGAGTGGCAGTACAAATAGATAAATTCATTTTTTAAGTGTCTGAATGGTACGCCATAGTGACAATGGACCCAGACTCACTTAATTGTTCCCGTTACTGATGAACATTTAGCTACTTCCAGTTTTCCTCTCACAGGCAGTGCTGCAAAGGAATTCCTTGGCTATACGCCTGTGCATGTGAGTGCTGTACAGTACATTCCCTCTTTGGCCAACGTGTGTCCAGCATTTAACGGGAAGTGCTAAGTCCTTATCAATTTTGTAAACTCATCCTTCAACCCTGAAAGTTCCAACCTTGTGACTTACCTCAACAAAATGTGGCTCTGCCCCAATCCCCCCCCCCCAAACCCAAAGTTGGCTCAGGGCCAAGGATGGGGGCTATTCATCTTTGGCTCTTTAGGGCCAGAGGGCAAAGCAACCCTCAAAACTGGCTTGAGTGAGAAACAGAAATAGTTAGGTATAGATAGAATAGACCAAAGATTCTGAGAATAGCCAATGTTTCCGAGTAATAATTAGGGAGACTGTTTAATTTACTGTTGAAACCAGGATACTTCCTAGTAATAACACACACTGATGCCTCTGTCAGGACTCTAACTGGCATCGTTCCCTTTAATTCTCACCTCAAGCTTGAGGGTGGCACTTTTACTGCATGAGAAAGTGAATGCTCAGAGAAGTTAAGTCTGCTGACTGAGGTTACATAGCTAATGATGAGAGGCAGAGCTGGGATTCAAACCCAGGTTAGTCCGGTATCCTTAACCACTGTGTTCCAAACACACGGTATGAGTAAATGATTTGTAGGAAGAGAATGTCCTGCTTGGTGGTCACGGGAACCGCTCACTATCAGTCCTGTGTGATGGTCAGGGAAAGCAGAGTACAAAAGGGAAGGAGGAGAGAGCAAAAATATCACCTTTCCCATTTATGCTCTTACAGTGGGATGTGGAGGGTGCTCACAACACACCAGGACATCTGTCCTCCCTCTCTCTGAAACCCTGTGATAGAGAGCCCCAAGGCCCAGAGGTAGACCATGTGTTCTTGGCTGGCATGTGCTGTCTTTGGCCCCACTCGTGTGAACAACAAAAATCCCCAAGGAAACGAGAACCTACAAACAGAAAACACTGCCTCTCTGAAGAAAAGAAAAATACTCCCTTGTTTTAATAACAAATTCCAAATGGATGTATGAAATATATCTGCCATCAGGTACTTAGTGTTCATATTGTGGGGAACATTTAGAAAAACAGGTTAAATAGCTAGGCTAGAGCCAAATGTTTCACAGGTAATGTTTATTAAGTGCCAAATTCAAGAAAGGTAAGAGAGGACACTTGATGGCAGATGCCAGGATGAAATTATCCAGGAGAACTGGCTTGGGATAAAAACAAAACAAAACAAAAAACACCAAACCCCTGATGTTTACAAGTTCTCCAAAAAAAAATTACCAGAGTCTTCTCTGCTTCCTCCTTGGCAAGATCTGCTCACAGAGCTCACTGTGAGTCCAGAAAGTGACTGTGGGAAGAATTCTGTTCCACGGAGTCATTAAAAACCACCGGGGCTTCCACGGTGCCCAGGAAGAAATAATTGCTACGCAAATTGCTGTCCTACCATAAACAACTAGAAAACCTGATGAAATACATGAAATAAAACTGTCTTCTGACATGAATTCTGGGCAGGGTAGGACTGTGATTCCTGATAGAAGGGAAACAAACACGGTGGCTCTTCCTACTCTAGGCCCGGCCCAGCCTACTGCCAGCCTTAGTTTTTAGGCTGAGGCTCAGGAAGGGGAACCCCAAACTGAGCTCAGCAGTCTCAGTCTTGCTGAGAAGAGAGGACAGATGAGAATTGGGGGAGGTCAAAGCAGCTAGAATACCAGAAAGGAGAAGCCACACAGGAGAGAGCTTCTGAGAGCTATAATGGAGTCCCCTTGAATCTTGGACTGAACTGATCTGTACATGCAAGCAGTGAGATTCCAGAAGTCTGGGAGAGAATCAACTAAAAAGGAATAGGCTGAGCAGTTCCCCAAGCACACACAAGGCTGGGAATAGAGTGTGTTCCCACAGGCTGGAGTGGAATGACCTCATAATACATGGGACATGATCTAGAGTCCTCAGAAATGCATTAATTTCTAGTGCTACTCTGCACCTGCCCTGACAATTTAAAAGTAAACCTCAAAAGGATTCTGCTGATTGCAGGAAACTTAGATATATGGCAGGTGAAAATCCAAAACTCTATGAAGAATATACAAAAATCTAATTAACAACATAATCAACTTCACAATGACTGGTGTCCAATAAAAAATTAATATGCAAGCAAAGAGCAGCAATATATAACTTACAGAGGAAAATTAATCAACAGAAACCAACCTAGAATTAACAGGAATGGTGGAATTAACAAATAAGCACATTAAAATAGCTGCTATAAATATGTTCCATGAGTTCAAGAATGTAGAGAAATAATGAATGGCATACATGCAAAAACATGTTGCTTAAGAACATTATACTAACTGAAAAAATAAGACACAAAAGCCTGCATACTGTATGACTTCACTTCTATGATATTTTGGAAATGGAAACTATAGTGACAGATTGCAGTTCAACAGGTACCAGGAGCTAGGGATGGGCCGGGAATGACTGTTCTTGGCAGTCGGACCCCATCCTTGGAGGGAAGCCCTCCAGGGCCCTTGCTCTGGGAAAGAGGCAGAATTGGAGGTGATATTTTGATCTTTGCTAAGGGATGGTCGGTAAAGAGAAATGTGACTGTGACAACATAGTCAGGTCTAAATCCAGACGTGTCCCTACGGGACCAGTAGATTCCCTTTGCTGCAAGTTCTTCTGAGTTGTGACTATCTCCTGTGATTGAAAGTGACCCGACTGACATAACCTCTCTCACCAGGCAGGACAACACGCCATCACCTAGCATTTCAATGCTCTCGTTCACTTACCCGAGAGTGAGATTCCTTCCGCAAGCCCATAAGGAAGATATGCAAAAATGATCATCATGCCGAACTCCAAGGAAGGCGTTTTCCTCAAGTCAATATGCTTTAGCACATAAATGAGTGGTCAAGGAAAGAGAATTGAGGGACAGTTGGTGGGAGATCTAGTGAAGTCACAAAACTGCTGCCTTCCAAATATAAATTGAATAATAGATACAACATTTTGCAACATTCTAAGGTAATAACTGAAAACCTGTCATCATGGATATTTTTCTTTGCAGGGATAGTTGTTTTTAAGAAAGGGAATCTGATAAAGTAAGAAATGTAAATTCCTGAGAGAAATGGTAAGAGGGGGTGGGATTAAAACAACCTAAGTTAACTCAGTTAAAAATACTGACTTGGGCCCTGGCCAGTGTGGCTCTGTAGGTTGGGCATCATCCTATGCACTGAAAGGTCATCAGTTTGATTCTCAGTCAGAGCACGGTACCTGGGTTGCGGGCTTGATCCCAGTAGATGTGCAGGAAGCAGCTGATCAATGTCTCACTCTCACACTGATGTTTCTTTCTATCCCCCTCTCTTTCTAAAAATCAATTTAAAATATCTTTTAAGAAATGCTGATCTGGAAGACTGGGAATGTGCCAGCCTGGGGGGGCAAAGCTGGGGCTGCAGAGGGACTGAGGATAGCCCACACTGCCAGGTCCCTTCCGGCTTGTTATTTTCATCTCCTCTTCCTGCATCAGATGAGATGAACTAATAGGGTTTTCCAGAACTTTGGGGTTCAATAGCCCATCAAAGGGCCCTTTTTCCTATTCCTGGAGATTTTCAAACTCATCCGTCACAGGAGAGCCTTTTTCATATTCCAAATATTGTTCATATGCCCTTACTGGAACTCACAGCACCATTCACCTGGCTTCATTACACCAAAGGCTCCCCCGACTCTTTTTAAGAAAAAGATAAATATGGAGGAAAGTACTGAGCTGGATAAAGTTTATTTCCTATTCTGTTTGTTGGTACAATATGAGAAGCTGTCTACCAACTCACTAGAGCCTTGGACTTCTGGACACAGGTGTCGAAGGGAAAATTCAACAGGATGGCAGACAAGCATGCCTGCCACAGGCAGAAGAGGCCTTTCCGGCCATCTATGAGACGCACTGATGGTGGAGGAGGGCCAGGGCACGGCCCTGAGACGCAGGCGTCGGCTAGCACAGAAGTGGTCTGGTGCCTATTCCTGCTAGAACAGGATGGATTTTCTACAGCAATAAAGGTGTCACTGGGCTTCTCAAGCCTCTTTCCTTCTCTGGCTGGAAAAACTTGTGGGTGGTTAAGCAAGAAAATCAGTGCAAATAACTTAGATGAGCTTATTTTGAAAGTCTCTTTTCTGGTCCTTTCAGAAAACACTTCCAGATTTTCTCAATTTGACATTTTCAAAGGAAATTACAATAATTTCCAATTTTTGGAATGTGAAAAGAGAGACAGCAGAAAATGAACTAAGAAGTCTCCCAAATCAGATCTGATATCCAACAGTGTTCATATTTTTTAAGTTTTAAAAAGTGACACCCTAAATTTCACATATTAAATTTAAAAATCCTTGAGTTTAAATGAAAGGGCTGTTCAAACAACAACTAAGCATAAAAATCCTCCATCAAACACAACCTTAGACTAAAATTGGTCCCCTTAAAGAATAGGAGAAGATGGCTAACCATGCATATAATTAGAAATAATCTTCCCAGCCACACATGTTCATCATAGTAAAAGGATATTAATGCAGAGATTAAGCCAGTGAGAGTGCCGAGCGCTGCTGAGCCAAAGAACATTTTGAGGAAGTAGCCAAGGGCTTGTACAAATGTTTGCCACCCACTGACATCTGACATATTTTTTCTTGTTAAACCTTCAGCTGTGCTAGGAAATAGAAGAAAAACAGAAAGAAGTTAAAATGTTATAGACAAAGTTATTAGAAATTAACTTAGAACTAAAAATTTATTCCTTGGTTAATCTGTCATTCATTCGGTCCATCATTTAGTGACTCGCATTTATTTGTTTACCTGCTTTGCTCCAGGTACTGGGCCAGTTTCTGGGGGTTCAAAGGTGAGTACAAAGGCCCTGGCCTTAAGGAGTGCCCCCAGTCTAATGAGGCGGGAAATAATGACCATCTGGGGTAAGGGCAGAGAGCTGTAGAAACACAAAGCAGTGCTTCATAACATATGGGCTGGGTTTAGATTTGGGATGTGGAACAATGAGGGAAAGCACCCCAGGCAGAGGGAACACATGTACAGAGGCAGAGAGCTGAGAATACCAGCCCATTCTGGGGCATTCAATGACAGAGGTTAGTATGGATAAAACACAGAAAAAGGGCGGGGTGTTTGTGCCATGAGCCGGACAGTGGCAAGAGGTAAGGCCAGAGCAGCAGGCAGCACAGGAGCTGTGAAAGGCTTTGATGAACCAGGCGAAGGAGTTGGTATTTCATCCTGAAGTATTCTAGTGTGGGGGGATCCTGTGGTAAAACTGGAAATTAAGGCTGTGGCATGAAGTCAGATCAGAATGGAGCCGCCTAAAGAAGAACCGTCACTGGGTACAAGTGTTGGGTACAGAGAGGATGGATTTAGGAGGAAGAATTGAAAGAATTTTTCTTTCATTGTAAAAGAACAAAGTAAAACTGCCAGAAGCCATTAAATTCAATTGTTGGTTTTCCTCCCAAAGGGAAACCAGTTATGCCACTAAAATGGAGTTATTCTCATTAAATATCCTACACTTGCAGTCTGACCCTACCTTCAGATTGTCTCTTAAATCCATCCACTTCTCTCCCTTTCTGCCCTACTATCTGCTGTCCCATTGCTCTCTCTATACTTCCTTGTCTCCATAGGGACCAACCCATTCTCCAGCCAATGGCCTGAATGATCCCCATAAAATTCACATCTGATCAGGTTATTGGCCTATTCAAAACCCATCAACAGTTTCCTGCTGCTTTGTAGGGGGACGCCTAGTCTTCTTAGCATAACCTTGTTAACAGAGTTGGGGTTCTTGAGTTAGCCAGGATAGAAATCAACAGGAACCCCCCCATACCCTGCACGCCCCCCTGAGAAATTTCCAGACAGATTTTATTAAGTTTATGCTCGAGCTCAAGGAAGGCAACACCGAGGAAAGGATAGACCTCTAAACTGGCTCTGGGCTGGCTCTGCCTGGCTGCTTTTATAAGCTGGGGACAAAGCAGGCTTGCGCACTAAGGCAGGCTTTTCTAAAAAGTCAGGCTTGCAGAATTTCCCATTTTAGGGTGGGGTGGGTGACTTCCTTTTCCTGCTGCGTTGCTTGGTAACTACATCCACACCTGCGCTATTGGGGCAAGATGGGGGACTGCCTGTTACCATCACCCTGGGAAGGTCATATAGCAGTAAACCTTGATCAATTGTGCGTGGGGGTCAGTAGTTTAAGCAGGCAGTTAGAAGGGAGATACAATCAGCTACCTCTGTGTTTTAGGGTAGAGAGTGGAGGAGTGATGACAGTTTTTCGTTCCTTCTTAACTTGGTTTCCTGGCCCAATCCCTATGTTGTTTCCACCTGATTCTGCTCTCTGCCATACCTCTTGATCCCACTTTCTCCTCCTTCCAGGGAGGCCCCACTATGACTGTCACCTCCTTATAGTCACCTTTCATCTCAGCCTCCCTAACGTCCCCGTTTGTTTCTCAGAACCCAGGGTCAGTGTTACTTCCTCAGGGACCCTTCGACAGGCCAGCCGTTTACAGGCTCCTGTGGCTTGTCTTCTCCACAGCATGTGAAAACTGGTTCCATGAGGACCAATCCTGCTTAACTGTCATATGTCCAGGGCCTACGGCAGAGCCTAGTACACAAAAGACCCTCAATGAATTTTTGCTGAATCAGTACACAAAGCAAAGAATTATCAATAGTAATATTCAGCTTCATTATTCAACATTTCATAAATTGGTATAATTTTAAAGCAAGATAATCTGATAATCTGATAGCTTGATCAAATAACCCTCAGGAAGCCTTTCATGGCAATTCACTGTACAATTTAACATAATAAAGGTTCTAAGAAATCCTGCAAAATTTTTTTTAAACCTTTTTTTCACACAAATGTTTTTCCAAACTCACTAAATGTACAATTACCCTCCCCCCACCCCCACCCCCTGCCGCTGCCAATTCCCTTTTTTCCTAGTAGTAGATCGCAGGTTAACATCCCACCTTGGGGAATGCTGGGATCCAATAAGGGTTCTTACTGGGAAAGTGCCATGAAGGGTAAGATCACCCACAGTTCCCAAATGATCTGTGGGCACATGCAGACAGTAAGTATCTAGCCGCCACCCCAGATGACTCCCTCAGATGGTACACCAGCCAGTGTCACTGCTTTCTTTTTATGGAGAGAAGGCTTGTGCCAATGGTTCCTGAACTCAAGATAAATGAAAGTAGAATTGGACTCTTTCTGGCCTGGTAATTGTCTACATTTTATTTTTCAGGTCATGTTTCTCTCACCTTAAGAATATAGACAATGCTGCTTCGGGTTCCATTTCATGAGCTTAAGCTGTAGCTGGAGAGAACAAAAGGTTTCCCCTACAGCAATTATTTTAAGAATAAATTGTCATAGTAACAAATCAAAGCTAAAACTAATTTAAAGTTAATGAAGAAACAGAAGATACTTCTTAACTTTCTGGCACTTACGAAAGTGAAAGCATTAAAGAGGGGGGTATGCTGGGCCAGTGTGTCTCAGTGGTTGAGCGTCAGCCCATGAACCAGGAGGTCCTGGTTTGATTCCTCGGTTGTGGGCTCAATCCCCAGTAGGGGGTATGCAGGAGGCAGCCTATCGATGATTCTCTCTCATCATTGATGTTTATGTCTCCCTCCCTCTTTCTTCCTCTGAAATCAATGAATATACAATATATTTTATTTTTTTAAATAAATTTTTAATGTTCATATTATTACAAATGTTCCTTTCCCCCCACCTCCCTCCATTGCTCTCCTCCGCCAGGTTCCCACCCCACCCTCTGCCCTTTCCCCACTCCCCATTGTCCTCATCCATAGGTGCACAGTTTATGTTCAGTCTCTTCCCACATCCTCCTCTCCCCTTTTCCCCAAGAATCGTCAGTTCACTCCCTTTCCATACCTCTGATTCTATTATATTCAACAGTTAATATTGTTCATCAGAGTTTTTTTTTTTTTTTTAATTTCCTTGGTTTTTAGATTCACTTGTTGATAGTTACGTATTTGTTGTTCATAATTTTTATCTTTATTTACTTTCTCTTCCGAAAGAACCCCCTTCAGCAATTCATATAATTCTGGTTTGGTGGTAATAAACTCCTTTAGCTTTTTTTTTATTAGTGAAGCTCTTTATCTGACCTTCGATTCTGAGTGATAGCTTTGGGGGTAGATTATCTTTGGCTGTAGGTTCTTACTATTCATCACCTTGAATATTTCTTGCCATTCCCGTCTGGCCTGCATGGTTTCTGTTGAGAAATCAGCTGACAATCGTATAGGTGCTCCTTTATAGGTAACTACCTTCTTTGCTCTTGCTGCTTTTAATATTCTCTTTGTCTTTTACTCTTGGAATTTTAATTATGATGTGTCTTGGTGTGGTCCTCTTTGGATTCCTTTTGTTTGGAGTTCTGTGCGCTTCCTGGACTTGTAAGTCTAATTCTTTCACCAGGTGGGGGAAGTTTTCTGTCACTATTTCTTTCAGTATGTTTTCGATATCTTGCTCTCTCTCATCTTCTGGGACCCCCATAATTCTGATGTTGGTTTGCTTGAAGTTGTCCCAGAGGTTTCTTACATTATCTTCAATTTTCTGGATTCTCTTGCCTTCTAGCTTCTGCGGAGGAGTGTCTTCTGGCTCTTTATGTTTCAAATCTTTGACTTGATTCTTGCGGTCTTCCATTCTGTTTTTAGGACGCTGTATAATATTTTTTCAGACAATGTATTCTTTATTTCTTGTTGATCCTTTATCATTTCTTGTTGATTCCTTATTATTTCTAGTTGATCCCTTTTCATATCCTCATAGGTCTCGTTTATTTTATCGGCCTTTTCTAGGACATTCTTGAACAACCTTATAAGTGTGGTTTTGAACTCTATATCCAGTCGCTTTTTGTCCTCCGTTTCTTTCGTTTGTGATCTATTTCGTCTTGGCATTTTCGCAGCTTCCCTGATGGGGCGGGGTTTCAGGGTGGGGCTACAGTTTTGGCTTCCATCAGCCCTGCCCTATGCAGCTCCTGAGTCTCAGGGTCCTTCAGTACTCATTGCAAGCACCTCTGAGAGAAAGGTGCCCTTGATTTTCGCCTGCTACCGAACAGTCTAGGCTCTCCCCCAATGAGCCGGTATTGGGGTTCAGTTCAGTTGGAAGTGGAGTTGGAGGTGGCATTCCGAGCAGTCTGGAGCCCCTGTCTCCTTCCCGCCAGGGCAATCCCGCGGCACAGCCAACTGTCCCTTCTCTGCGCGCAATGTGCGCGCCTCCGGGACCTCCTTTCGCCGCTCCCCTGGGGTTCCGCCTTACAGCCCAGCTCCCTATGGCTGAGCCTGGGTCCCCAGGGTCTGGCCTAGAACTGGGGTTCAGAGCAGTCGAAACTGGGGCCCAGCACAGTCGGAGCTTTTATCTCCTTCCTGCTAGGGAACGCCAGCCAGGCACTCAGCCTCCCTCCTCTCCTCCCTCCTCTCTGGCTCCGTCCTCTCCACGCGCGCCACATGTCTCTGTACCTTAGGCTTTTACAGCTCCTCCACTCTTCCTTCTGGTTTTCTCCTTGCTTCTCTTTGTAGAATTTCCAGTCAGTCAACTTTCCTGTAGTTCTGGGTAATGTCCATTTTATATTTTAGTTGTATTTTATTGAAATTGTTGTGTGCGGCTGCGGCTAGGTGTTTACCTGTGCAGCCATCTTGGATTCTCCTCAATGAAAATATATTTTAAAAAGGGGGTAATTCATTCCTATATTCAGTTACAAAGATAATCTGAATGTGTCAGATCACTTTGAAAACGATCATTTATTAAGTATACCCTTAAAAATAAGACATGATTCCAGCTTATAAACAAAGGAATGCTGACAATAGCTCCCTCTTGTAATGCAAAAAGGGCACACCCACCATGCTCCTCTCTCCCGTTTCCCTTTTATAACTGAAATGGCCCACAAGACAGCTCACCTGAGAAACCTCACTCAAATCCTTCAGAGTGACTATTTCCCCCTTGCACCATTGTGTTCACTTCCTTGTGAGCATCTTTCTCTCACCTTGGATTGAAACTGTCAAGTCCAAGTGGTATCTGGACAATGTTTGGAACACAGAGGACCATCACCAAATGCTGAGGGTGGATGACCAGCCTGGAGCGGGTCTGGAGAACCAGCGGGGCAGGACATGGCTCAGTCAGTGACTCCTACCCGAGCCTGTGTCCCAGTAGTGGTGAGGTGGAGGCTGGAGACTACATATGCATGTGGCCCACAGAGGCAGTTTGGGGAACTGTCACCATAGGTCATCTTGACCTTCAAAAGCACCTTTTCCCGGAAGAACCTTTGGCTACTTATAATGAATATCTGCAGCATTTCTCTTTTTTTTAAATTAAATATATTTTATTGATTTTGTACAGAGAGGAAGGGAGAGAGACAGAGAGTTAGAAACATCGATGAGAGAGAATCATCGATCAGCTGCCTCTTGCACACCCCCTACTGGGGATATGCCTGCATCCAAGGTACATGCCCTTGACCGGAATCGAACCCGGGACCCTTCAGTCCCCAAGCCGACGCTCTATCCATTGAGCCAAACTGGTCTCGGCTGCAGCATTTCTCATTTTAAAAAGAAAGTTATCTCCTAATCTTTGGCCTTTTTGTGGCAAAGAAACATGGGAAAGCTCAGAAAAGGTCCTACTTTAGACAGATTCTTAAAAAAAATTAGAAACAAAGCCATTGAGTTTAGCTCATACTGTATAAAAATAACTCATGATGTCATCTCCAATTTGGGCAAAATTCTTTATCACAAATATTCAATATGTGCAGCCAGAATCCTATATAATAGAGCTAATATGTTAATGGTGTGACGCCCTCATGCCATGACGGCCATTCAGCAGGAGGCTGTGTGCACAGCAGGGCGGAGCTGCCCTGTTGCTCCAGAGATGGGGTGGAAAGGGGAGGCACCGGGAGGAGGCGGGAACATCCCGTGGTGGGGAGGGCCGGGGTAAGAGCCCATAGCGCCCCCCTCACCACCCACAACTCACACTCAGCGCGCCTGCTGCTCATCTGCCAGGGGAAGGAGAGCGGCGCTGGAAACTCCGCAGCAGGCAGGAGGCTTCCACCTCTCCTCTGGTGCCATGACAGGGCGGAGCCATCATGTTGCTCTGGAGAAGGGGCGGGAGTGGGACATGCCTGGAGGAGGTAGGACCAGCCCGAGGTGACTTGTGGGACCAAGGGGTGGGGCTTGAAGTAACTGGAGAAGGCTGGAGGGATTGGGGGCAGGGCCAAGTGCACTTGAGAGGTGGGGTGTCAAGGTGGGGTGGTGGGCAGGGCGCATGTGGATGGGCGGGGCCACTCGATTTCAGGTGCTAGGTTACTACCGTGTTTCCCCGAAAATAAGACATCCTCCGAAAATAAGACCTAGAGCATGGAAAGATAAGACATCCCCTGAAAATAAGACCTAGTGCAACTTTGGGAGAAAAAATTAATATAAGACACTGTCTAATTTTCGGGGAACAGGGTAGTATGAGATAAAAGTGAAAACTCAGAGCTAAGAAGCTTTCAGGGTAGATCTTAAATAAGAAAAATATATTATCATCAGATTTCTTAAAGGTCTTATAGCATGATGTGTGAGAATTTCCTAATGAAGCTATAGAAATTTTTACCAAGAGAAATGTAAAAAAGGCAGTAATAGGGAATTGGTCAAATAGGTCATAGTAAATCCATAGAAAGGAATATTCTGTAACCAGTAAAATGATGTTGTAGAAGATTATTTTATCAACCCTGTTCAATGGAAAAGCTGTAGTATAGTATATAAGATATAAGCTCATAAAAATAAAACATATGTAGCCTGGCTGGCGTGACTCAGTGATTGAGCGTCGACCTGTGAACCATGATTCCTGGTCAGGGCACATGCCCAGGTTGTGGGCTCGATCCCCAGTGTGGGGTGTGCAGGAGACAATTGATCAATGATTCTCTCTTATCATTGATATTTATATATATGTATCTCTCTCCCTCTTCCTTCCTCTCTGAAATAAATAAAAATATATATAAAAAATAAAATGTAGATAACTTTTGGTAAGTTCTTCCTACAAAGTAGGCTAAAAACAGGGCAAACAACGAAACAATAATAGGGGCAGGAGTAGAAGAGGAAAGGGCCGCACATTAATTGACACAGATGCTTTTCACATGGCATCGAACTTAACTATTCAATCCTCAAATCCAATCCTAGGTGGAGGCTTTATCACCCTCACTTGAGTATGGAGAAACCTGTGGCTCAGAGAGGTGGAAGAGCCAACCCAGGACCACACAGCTATCAGTGGCACCCGTAGGACTGAAGCCCAGGTCAACCTGACTCCAAAGTTGGTACTCTTCCCATTATAAACCACCCTTTAGTGCAACGTCAGAATTTCTAATGTAGTCTATAAGAAAGCTTTTAAGAAAATGCTGCCGAAGCCGGTTTGGCTCAGTGGTAGAGCTTCGGTCTGTGGACTGAAGGGTCCCAGGTTTGATTCCGGTCAAGGGCATGTACATTGGTTGCGGGCACGTCCCTGGTAGGGGGTGTGCAAGAGGCAGCTGGTCGATGTTTCTCTCTCATCGACGTTTCTAGCTCGCTCTCTCCCTTCCTCTCTGTAAAAAATCAATAAAATATAAAAAAATAAAGAACCATTAACCTGTTAACCGAGCGGGATGTATAAATACGTCAAATATAAACAATATCGGGAACGGGTAGGATGTATGAATACGTCCTGGAAATATATGTTGAGCCCTGAGAGGGACGGTATATATTTTTTGTAATTGTGAAATTTATAATTTTTTAATTCGATGTTTCCATTTTTTTGTTGGTATTCTTTTCTATTTTTTTATAATTTTGTATTTTCCTTTGTGTTTTATATTCAATATATAAATAAATGAAAAAAATATATATATATATCATTTATTTTAATTAAGTATAAATAAAAAATAATAATATGAAATTACGTCCTCCGAGAGTGACGTACTGTCACGTCCTAGTGAAAGAGTACACACCCGTTACAGGTTGCGTAATTAAAAAGGGAACTCCCTGGTTAACAGGTAAAAAAAAAAAAAAAAAAAAAAAGCTAACTACCACAGAGTGTTAGGCTTAGTAAGGAACCTTGTGACAAAGGAAATAAGACAGGTCGTGAAATTCTATTCTCTAACAGAACACTGGCTGGCTCCTAAAATTCTCATGGTTCACTCTGACACACTGCGCAGGGTTCTTTTCTCCAGCTGCTTGGACTGTTGGTGCCTTTTCTGTTTTCTGGCAAAACTGCTTGGGTCTCCAGCTCACGCATGCTAGTGAATGCCACAAAATGCAGACGTCAAGGAAACAGCCCTACATCAAATAAACACATTTGAAACGATCTTGAATTCATTTCCTTTTCCCAATGATGTGATGACTCCCCTTTAATGTCTCAGATACTATCAACAAGGGCAGTAATACCAATGAACATTTGAAAAAGATCTTTCTAAAGTGGCTTTCACCCACAGCATCTTCCGAAGGGATGTCTGTTAGTATCACTACCTTCTGTGATGGCTGTGAAGAGGAAGGTGACCTGCAACAACTCCAAAGCGGAAGAGGAAGGACTGTCTATGTTGTCTGCAACAATGCAGTCCCAACTCTCATCCCTCAACCGGCTGCTCTATCATCATTAAACCTATGTTCTTAGGGCTCATCCCAGACCAGTCACCAACTGAGAAGCTCTGAAGGTGGGACTTGGGAATGCTACATTTAATAACATCCCCAGTGGTGCAGATGAGAAGCTGCACTCAAAACTGCTGCTAAGAAGTAGGTCATAAAAGGGGGATCACTCTGGACCACATGTGTCAAACACAAGGCCCGCGGGCCAAATCCGTCCCGCCAGGCCTTGCAATGTGGCCCGCACCGCGCTGTCATCACTGCACTCCGCTGCGTTTCCATCACAATGACAGTTTATGACTGTTCAGTAAACCATTCGGCCCGCGATTTAGGCTGGATTTTAGATTTTGGCCCCTTCTCTGATTGAGTTCGACACCCCTACTCTAGACCTTGACAGCATCCCTGGGGCACATCAGGGCTTGTCAGGACAGAAAGATGGAGAAGCAGGTGAACTGATCACCCAGAGGACAAGCAACTGCACACACAGCTGCATGGAAACATCTGTCCCGTTGTTCCTGGGACCTTCAGTTCTGTTCCTTGGAGAGAGCACACTTACTTGGTCAAGACGATGGAGACTGCATCGTTGAGAATACTCTCTCCAAAAACCAGCATGTTGAGCACTGGGTCTATGTGGAGTGCATTGAAAATGGCAATAGTAGCCACTGGATCGACGGCAGAAATTAGGGAGCCAAATGCGAAACTGTAAAGAAGAGGACAGAAAGGGCAAACTCTGAAACACTCATCACTTGGTCCACCTGTTGAAGCATTAAAACCGGGGAGTGTATCTGATATAACAAATGCACACGCTATCGCTGAAGTAATGACAGAGGATGCGCTCCTTCTCCCTGTGCTATCTGTGAACTGGCATTGTGGGTGGAGCAGTGAAGTGCCCACTCTAAGAGTTGTTAGGAGTGGCCTGGTTTCCCACTATATGTATTAACACTTTGACCAGTGATGGATGGAAGACTTTTGCTTAAACGCATTAAAGTTCCCAGACTTTCTGGTCAGAGCAGCTGGAACCATGATAGCTCAGGGGCCTCACCCAAATGACCCCCGGGCCCCTGGGTCTGACCTCTGTTTTGCCTCTTGCCACCATCGATGACCAACCCCAGCCTCCACTCACATTTGTAACATCTAAAAAAATGCTAAGAGCCGAAACCGGTTTGGCTCAATGGATAGAGCGTCGGCTTGGGGACTGCAAGGTCCCGGGTTCGATTCCGGTCAAGGGCATGTACCTTGGTGGCAGGCATATCCCCAGTAGGGGGTATGCAAGAGGCAGCTGATCGATGACTCTTTCTCATCGATGTTCCTAACTCTCTATCTCTCTCCCTTCCTCTCTGTACAAAATCAATAAAATATATTAAAAAATAATAATAAAATAAAACTTAAAAATGCTAAGAGCCAGCAGCAACTCTAGGAGCTCCAGAGGATGGGCGGCTTGGCTGGCAGGCACTGGCCCCAGAGCTGCCTCCCACCAGGCCAGCGGCTCTCATCGACAGGACCCATGAAGGTCTCGCTTCCTCCAACAAATACGTATGAATGGTCAAATGTCATTCAGGCACTGAAGGTAATAATAGCAGCAAACCTTTCTGTGGCACTTACCATGTCCCAGGCACTTTACATATAGTAACTTTACATATAGTAACTCACTTTACATATAGTAACTCAGTAATTCGCCATATGAGATGGCTCTATTACTGCCCCAATCACATAGGAGAAAACTGAGGGACCATGATGTTAAGGAACTGGTCCAAGGTGGGTCAGTGAACAAGGATTCAAACACAGGGTATCTGGCTCAGAGTGGCTGCCCCTCGCCACTAGATATAGAAATATCCAGAGACAGACCAATTCAGAAACGGCATGTTTTACACAGGAAACCAGAGTAATGAGAGAAGAGTAACCTGGCAGGGGCCAGGGGCAGGGGGACAGTTAGACTGGGTGGTCAGGAAAGGCCTCTGAAGAAATGACTTATCTGAACAAGGACCTGAGCAAGGAGATGGCAAGGCCAAGATCTGGGGCAGTGGCAACAGCAAGCTACCTCTGAAGTGGGGCTCACTTGGTTGCCTGAGAAACATAAAGGCAAGCGTGGCAGCTGTACAGTGAGGGTGAGGGTGAGGGCGAGTGGCAGGAGATGGTGGAGGGTGGCCAGGGAGATCACCCCTTGGGGCCTCGTGGGCTACTTGAGGAGTCTGGGTGACTCGTTCTCTCAGCAGTTTGTCTGTTTTCTACCTCAGTGTTCCTGACGCCTCCTATTCGCTCACACTGCTATGCCCGGCACTGCCTTCCTTCTACTCCAGCAGAATGGTCAGCCTGCTCCTTCTGTAACACAGGCAAAACACGCAGCCCCAATGTGACAGCCCTGCATGAAGGATGTGAGCCAGAGACTGTGCACCTCTCCTTCCCCCTCACCAGCCTGCAGTCTGTGAGGGACAAGGTAGCCACACGGCTCTGACCACTGCACCATCAGCAGCAACCCTGACTGGTCACTGGACTCAGGCTCAGGGAGAGGGGTGCTGGCGGGGAAGATGCTCGGCTGCCTTCCCAGTTACAGTTCTGATTTCCTGGGTGCTCCCTGTGAGTTTGACTCGGGTGAATTCTATCAGGAGAGCCTGCTCACCTCAAGGAGAGCCTCTGGATGCCAAGCTGAGGGCCAGACCCAAAAGATGGGCTCAGCTCTGAGCCAGTTCCCAGACTTTCTGTCCTCACAGAAGCTGTCACATGTCTTATGAGCTGGGATCTTACCTGTCTCTCGCCTTCAGTGAGTGCCAGGGTGAGTACTGTGTTTAGCCATGGGTATATTCCCAGGAGTGGTACTGAGCATGGCCCAGAGAGGTTTGTGGAGAGTGGGTGGGTGGGAGGGATAGGTAATGCCACCAAACAACTGCCCTGTCTGGTTGGCAGCTGGCCTTGAAGCCCTTTTGCTGCAAACCAGGCTCAGACCTTCTCATCTCTCTTCTTCTATCCCCTCTCTCATCACCCTTGCTGACATCGCAGGGGCCTTGAAGGAAGAATGTCTAAAAAGTGTATTCTGAAGTGGTGGGTAGGGGGGAGTTTTGGGAGCCTCTGGTGGGTTGTGTGCTGTGCGCTGACTATGCTAGGCTCAGCTGGCCCCTCTCTCCACCCTTTAGTGTCATGCAGCAGAGCAGATGGGCATGGCTCTTCCTCCTGAACGTCCATGCCCCCTGGTTTTGGTAATAGCACCCCAATTTTCCTTTGGGGAGCCAACTCCCCTACTCTCCCTTCATTCATGTAGTTGCATTGGGCATCTAGGAGTGGATAGGGGATCCAGGCTTGGTGAACAAGGGCCATCATCCCAGGCATTTTACCACGTCATGGGGAATTAGGTTGGCCCTTTGGCAGGGATGGCTGAAGGGTGACGTAAGCCCAGAGCCATCAGTGTAGCCACATGGAGTAAATGTGCCCAAGGATAAAGTGGATCAGGGACTAGCTGAGCTGAGACAGCAAAGAAGAGATTCCTGACATTGTGATGGTCTTGTGGGTGTCCACTGTATAATGTCCACCTTTGCTGTATGTTCATAATAAAGGATTGGGGGAAATGCTTTGAATAAATTATGTAACACATTTAGCTTTGGTTGGGAATCGAAATTGGGGCAGGGCTTTCTGACAGTGACTATGAAAAGTCTGATCTATGAACTGCCTGAGTCATCAAGAGGCCTGAATCTAAGGGGTCATGTGACCTTGCCATCAGTTACTCCATTTCACATCTTCATGACCCAGTTTTTTAAAAAGATCAGAAGCTAGAAGTTCAACTAAAAGTGTGTTTTCTTGATTCCATCATTTCAAAGGATAGCAACATCAAAAAACCAAAAAGGAAATAGTGTAGGATGGTGAAATAATTCAGGGTGCATTGAAGAGTAAAGTATCTCTCCAGCAGAAATATCACTAAAATAGAGTTTAACAAAAGTTTTAGGTTTAATGTTTTCTCTAGTGCAGAGGTCTGTGAGTCCCATGTTTGACTCTCATGGTATTTTAAAGAAACGAATAAATTGTCAACATTTGAAAAGCAGAAAATTTCCTATTAATATCTAAAAGTCTGGCCTCTTTTGAAAAAAAAACTTTAAAAATATATTTTTATTGGCCGAAACCGGTTTGGCTCAGTGGTAGAGCGTCGGTCTGCGGACTGAAAGGTCCCATGTTCGATTCCGGTCAAGGGCATGTACCTTGGTTGCGGGCACATCCCCAGTAGGGGGTGTGCAAGAGGCAGCTGATCGATGTTTCTCTCTCATCGAGGTTTCTGGCTCTCTATCTCTTTCCTTTCCTCTCTGTAAAAAATCAATAAAAATATATTTAAAAAAAAAGAAAAAGAATCTTCTAGAAAACTCAAAAAAAAAATATATATATATATATATTTTTTTTATTAATTTCAGAGAGGAAGGGAGAGGGAGAGAGAGGTAGAAAGATCAATGATGAGAGAGAATTATTGATTGGCTGCCTCCTGCATGCCCAACACTGGGGACTGAGCCTGCAACCCCAGCATACGCCCTAACTGAGAATTGAACTGTGACCTCCTACTTCATAGGACGATGCCCAAAGAGAGCTACACCAGCAGGGTGAAAACAATTTTGTAATATCTAGTAACTCTGGGCCCATAATGGTGATTATTAAGAGGAGCTGAGAAGTGGCTGTTCCTTTCAGACAAGGGCATGCTCTCTGGTTCCCCGTCGCCACCTGGCCAGCTTCCCCTGTGGCATGCTCTGCCAGGCCCTGCAGCCATGTGGGTTTGCAACTGTGGCTAACTTTTCCAGAACACTCCCCAGAGGTGGGACAGTCACTTTCCACAGGAAACAAAGTGTCTGCACCCAGAGGAAGAAATTCTATCTGGCTGTTATTCTGCTTGTCTAAGGAACAATTCTCTTACTCCTCTCCCCTGACCATCCCAATCATCTGCCCAATTCAATTTTATGCGAATTTACCAATAATTTTCTGTGTCTCTAACCAGTTGCCCCCAAACAGGTTGAAGGACAGAATACTGGACCTCTTCCTTTATTTGGATTGGACTTGGGGCATTTCATTTCGCTGGCAACATACCTATAAAATGCAGGGCACCAGTTCTGTTTTATTTCCAGTTCTTTATGAAACAGGAATGTGACTTTTGCTACTTGTTTGTGTATCAAAACTATCCTACAACCAAAGCTCTAAAATGTATGTCCTTGGGAGAAAAGAGATTGGACTTAATGTAATCAGAGGCACACTGCCCATGAAAAGGGCTCCGAGATTCTAGTCCCCAAGGTGCTGCTAAAGGCTGAGAGCTCTGGCTGACCGGATGCTGTGCCACAGGACAGACCAAGTGCTGTGGATGCAGAAACAGCGCAGGGCTGCATCCTCACTGGACTTTCAGAGTGGGGAAACCAAGCTGAACTCTGCTTGTGCACTTTTTCAGCACTCGATCAGGCACCATCTGAGAGACAGCTGCCTAGGTGGCCTCTTGCTAAGCTAATAATGGAAATTCCTGGACTGGGCTCCGAGGCAGCAGCTCTGAGAGCTCACTGGAGTAATTTCAGGAGGAGGAGGACATGCGCAATAGAGCCCTTAGCCTCATCTGCTCCCCCAGTGGACACCCACCCAATTTAATGGAAATTCAGAGCAAAAAGATTAACACCTCACTCCCCACTTCATCCCTAATAAATCAAAGAGAAGACAACTTCTATTGTGGCCATTGAAAAGATATAAATCCAGGTGAAGAGCATTCTTAACAATAAAACAGCGGTGCAGCATGTGGTGTGTGTGTGTTTGGGGGGCAGTTAACTCATGAGCTATTCCTTCCAGAGCTCAAACTAAATTAATCGTTTCAATCAGCAATGTTCTGACTAGGGATCTTCAAAATTTCCTCAATTATTTTTGATTAATTCTTGGGACCCGAATTAATTCAGAATAGATTCTACAGAGAAATCATCAGCAAAACAAAGAGAGAAAAAGAACAGAGAGGTACCACACCCAGGAAGTAATATGGAGAGCACTTTTCAAAAGTAGTCACACAGTGTTAGAGTATGAAAGATTTACCTGTCTGTCATGTTGAGTTTAGAGATTACATCAGCCTGTAAAATAAAGCACACAAACACACAGACACAAAAAAATCCCCTGGAGAACAGCCAAGAAGATTAAAATGTCCATTAGTGCTTTATCACAAGTGGATAAGGACATTCATCTTCAGTCCTCAAACCACTTGAACATTTTTAAAAAGTCCTAAGTTTTAGTTTAGACATGCATCCGATTATCATACAACATAAGTATGGCAAAGAATGCTACGTTTTTCAAGCCAAATTCAGTACAGTTTTCTTCTCTAAGTTTGTTACCATTTGGTACTAGAAGCTGGGCAATGAAGAAGGTTGCAGGACAGACATTTATTCTGGTGCCACTGAGGCAGCAATGAAGGTGAAATCGGATGGAATGGGCTTTAGTCTATAGCCATCAGAGGAAACAAGCACATCTGATACAAATACAGCTGTTGCCCAGCTGACAACCTTGAACTTTACAGAACCGGGGCAGGTAAACTTCCTGCCACTGACCATAAAAGAGAAGAATTGACCTGCACAAATGTGCATAATGCAAAACCACAGATACTACCTTCCTCAGTGGGTCTGATTTGAATGAATTCAAATAATTTGAACCCCAACCACCCAACTGATGATACTGGGAACTGGTTTAGCAATGGTGGAAAATCCAGAGTGTATAACTCTACAGATGGATGAGTTAGAATTGAATGAACATATTCAGAATCATCTGTAATTTTTGAAACGCAAATATACCTAACAACACAACTGATATTGTTATAATCTGAAGATCTTGGTGATATCTAGTCTGCTTTATTTTTAGGAATTCCAAAGTAAGACAATATTGGTTTGCTAGTAAGAGCAAACAAATACTTTTGAGGATTATGGGAAAAATTACTCAACTTCAGACACTGAGGACACTGAGTTGAAACACAGTTTAACATGACTTTACTGTGCCTCATATAAGTCTGGATTTCCCTCCAGTGGAGCATTTACCTCGAATGTGAAACCCAGGACCCATGAGGTGTCTACCCCAGCTCCCTGCACTAGCTCTAAGAATGTAAGATTTTCAAAAATGTCCAGATGGTTTTTCTTACCTGACCCAGAAAATAAATTCCTCCACCTACTACAAAAGCAGAAATTGCTGTACCAAAAACAGAAAACAAGATGATGGAACCAATATTTTGAAAGAAGTTACCCTGTTTGAAAGAGCAGAAATGAGAGAAATGGTTAGAAAAAGTGGTCCAGCCAATGAAGGCCTGGCCCCCACACCTGGCCCTCCTGATATGCTTGATTCTCTGTGAAGGGCACCATCCCCCACCCCATTTGGCAAGCTGGGAACCTGGGAGTCTTCTCTCATGCCTACATCTCATACGGAGCCTGTGGCTTTTATCTCCCCCACGACATCCCATCTCCCTGCTTCTCTCCATCCTCATCTCCACCGCCCTTGCCCAAGCTGCCATCATCTCTCCCCAGGACCACTGTAATAGCTTCTAGCAACTCTCAACCACCCCTGGCTCCTTGCCTTCCACGGGCTTCCAGAATGATCATTGCAAAAGGCCAATCTGATTGTGCTACCTTCACTCTGACCCTCACTTCCACTCGAAATGCAGCTAAAACCCAACCCAAGCCTGGATGGTTTGACCCCCTGTGAAGACCTCTAACTCTCTCCCCTTTGTTTTCTGGATGCCAGTCACCCTGGTGGTTTTTTGTTCTTCAAATGTACTGTGCTTCCTGGGTTTGAACCACTCTTCCTTCCTCTTTGCTTGGTGAACTCTAATTACCCTAAGTTCTCAGAACACTCTTCCTGACGGAAGCCTTCTCAGATGTGTGTCTTTCCCGCTAGGCTGCAGACTCAACAGGGGCAATGACCACATCTGCTTTTGTATAATGTCACTGAAATAATGGTTGTCAGATGCAAGATGCCCAGTTGAGTAGGTACCAGAGGAATCAATTGTGTTTCATGTGTGATCAAATTTTAAAGTTTATACAATCATAACTTTTTGTTTAATTAAGAAAAGGTACAGTACTATAAAGAATGTTAAAACAGTAGATTATACTATCAAAACCACTTTTTGCTTTCTAGGTCTTTTAAACAATTCTATTTCACTCTATCAACATCAAATGCAAATGTGACAGATAAAATATATTTCCATCTATACTCTATGGCAGTGTTTCCCAAACTTTTGACATATGTGTACCCCTTCTATAATTTTCGTAACACCAAGTACCCCTCGTACTCATGAGAACGTAGAATTAGGCGCAGCTAAGCACGGTGCAGTGCATATCCCCACCAAACTCCGGTGCAACGCGTACCCCCACCAAACTCTTCCCGTACCCCTGGGGGTACGCGTACCACACTTTGGGAAACACTGCTCTATGGCATTTAAGAGAAAATATTTGAGTCCAAGAGCATAGTAGCATCTTTTACATTTCCATAAAATTAAGAAAATTAGCTGTTTATTAGAATCCTGTGGACCCACTCAGGAGCAATAACAGGGAACATTAATGACCCCTTGACTGTGAGTGTGGACAAGGGATCCCATCTTTTCGCTCAGGTACTGTCAAGCCATAGACAGCAGGGACTAACATTTTAAAGCTCACTTCAAAAGTGTGCTCAGCTTAACCCTGACAACTCACTAATCCTGTCTCCTTCAGGAAATTTCTTTACTTTATTCATTGTGATTTTGATTCAGTTGCCCATAATCTGGCATTCAATTACTTTGCTTGGCATATCAATCCTTAGTACACAGGAACTTTCAAATAACTCAAACACAATGATTTGTTTTTTTCTAAACAAAAGGCTTTCATCTATGAGTTTTTCTTTGCAAAAAGCTGCTTTACCTTATTTTAAAACTAGAGGCCCAGTGCATGAAATATGTGTACAGGTAGCATGCCTAGGCCTGGCTGGTGATCAGGGCTGATCTGTGGGGTGACTGGCAGGGCAATGAGGTGGGGAAGAAGGGGGAGGAATCCGTTGGCACCTGCCTTGGTTGACCTGGAGCCTGCGGGCTGGGGGCAGCTCCTGCATTAAGCGTCTTCCCCAGGGTGGTCAGTGCTTGTCATAGCAACCAATTGGTTGATTTGCATATTAGGCTTTTATTAGATAGGAGAGATTAAATTAAATCTTGGTCTGTTTATAGGGAGCTAATTCTGATAAATATATGTAGTTGGTTAATATTAACCTGGATATTGAAAATTTGCCCAAATACAAGTTATCACACTAGAAGAACTTCCCTTTGTTCTACAAAGTAAATTTATCTGTTTCTGACATACTTATTGTTCTATCCTTTGTATAATATTCATAATTTAAAGAGCTAATACCTGACTACATAATGCATATCAACTTAGAGTAGTCTTACTGAATTTTTAATTCCAAGTCCAAATTTACATTAGCAAATATAGCAATATTAAATTAAAACATTCAGAGTTAACTTCCTATCTTCTTTGGGGAAAGGTAAGAAGTAGACAGTTTCTGAATTCACATTTCCATATCACATTAGTCCCTTTCACATAAATTATCACATTCTCTGCTGGAAAGCCATCTTCAAAGAAATCATTATTATTTTTTTCTCAATTGAATTTATTGGGGGGGGTGACACTGGTTGATAAAATTATATAGCTTTCAGGTATACAATTCTCTAATACATTATCTGTATATTGTATTATGTGTTCACTATTCCAAGTCAAGAAATAATTTATTTAAAAAACTATTATTCAATATTTTCCTCAAATTTTTAACAAGTTTATTTTCCTTCCCTCAAAAAATTAGAAAATAAAACTTTTCAAGCTCTAACATAGTAGTAATCAGTGTTATGTTTTTAAGTCAAAAATCAAATCTATTCCCTTAAATTTGTTTTGAAACATTTTCATACTCTGCTGATAGTTCTTTTAAGATTTATGAAATGAAAAAAATTAAGAATAAAAATATTGACCTTCAATTTCTCCTTGCTTGTTTTCTTTTTAACAATTACCTCATGTCAGTAATAGTTTATAAGACTTAGGAATTTTTTTTTTTTACATTAAACTTCCTTTTCACATTTTAGGTGGATAGATGTACAATAAAATAGTCTTGACTGGTTTTTCCCAGTGGTTAGAGCATCAATCCATGAATCAAAGGGTCTTGGGTTCAATTCCTGATCTGGGTGTGTGTGCAGGAGGTAACCAATCAATGTGTCTCTGACGTTGATGTTTCTCTCTCTCTCTCTCTTTCTCTTTCTCTCCTCCTTACCTCCTTCCCTTCCACTCTCTCTGAAAATTAATATTTAAAAAAAATATCTGGTAAGGATTAAATAATAATAACAACAATTTAAAAATTCTGAACTAAACATCTTAGAATATTTTTGCTTTGGTACCCAGGTGAAAAATTAGAGATTAATTTGTATGTTTTAACCAAAAGTTTCTTGACAAATTTAACTCTTTATTATGTTACTGTTCATACTACTAGTAATATTAATATTAGTAATAATAAGTATTAATAATAAGAAACACTACAATTTATTTAATGTAATGGGTGGTGCTTTGCACATATTCTTTCATCTAGTGTAAATTTCTTCTTTTTTAAGAAAAAATATTTTTACTGATTTCAGAGAGGACAGGAGAGGGAGAGATAGAAACATCAATGATGAAAGAGAATCATTAACTGGCTGCCTCCTGCACACCCCCTACTGGGGATTGAGACTGCAATCTGGGCGTGTACCCTTGACTAAAATCGAACCCAGGACCCTTCAGTCTGCAGACTGATGCTCTATCCACGGAGCCAAACCAGCTAGGGCTAGTGTAAATTTCAAAGCAACTTGAGAGGTAGGGTTTTGGTTTTGTTTTTTGTTCTGAATTTCTGCTGTACCCAAAAGCAATCCATAGGGGGCAGCAGATGATTAGATCCAGGTGTCTGGCTCCAAAGCCCAGGCTCGTCCCTCTTTCCAATGGTTAGCCAAATCTTAGTCCTTTCAACCTTCATATATTTTTTTTTTTTTACCATACTCATAAAATAACCTTTTTATTACTAACATTTTAAGTTGAACCATGTATTTTAAAACTTAAATATATTTATCTTTAAAGAAAACTTATAGGCAAAGAAAAAAAAACCATGCACACACACAAAACTAGCTTAAAAGTGAGAAACTCCCGCCCAGGCAGAAAGAGTCCCACTGGAAGTTGGAGGACAGACCAGAAATTACAAGGCAAAGCAGGGAACTGTGCAGGTGCCAGCGGGGCCCCTCTTAAGGGTGGAACCCGGAAGCCAAGGATGAGCAGAACAACTGTGGGAATGGAGGAGTGTGCCTGAAGGAGTAAGAAGATGAGGCAGAATGATGGGGCTCCAGCTATGAAGAATAGCTGGACTGGGGAGCACGGGGAAATGGGGAATGCGAGCTGGGAGTTGAGGCCCAGGGTAGGGTACTGAGAGGGGAGATACTGAAGGATAAGGAGCCTAAGGAGGAAGAAGGACTCATGATGAGCTAAGAGAATCAAAAGGCCCAGGGTACATGTCCCTGTTCACCCAGGACACACTCCATCCTTTCAACATGTGCTAGTCTGTGTCCAACAAGAAGAGTCATTGTGTCACCCATGTACCACTTAATATCACTCTGGCCATCTTCCTAGGAAAATCTCCCTTCTATGGAATACCCTGGTTTAATAAGCCACACTGCCTGAAACCATGAAAGCAGCCCGCTGACCATGTCTCTCCTGTCCACAAGTCAGGCAGTCCAGTCCAGCTTCTACCCTGCACACCCATGATGAGTAACGGAGACACCGCTGCTAAATCAACACCCACGCTTCTTACCAACACAGGAAGCCATCCAGACCAAAAACACTAATATGTGCCTGAGTCTTACCTTGTGTAGTGAATATCCTGACTCAAATATAATAGGTGGAAGCAATAGAAGGAAAAACATATTTGGACGAAACATTTCTTCTTCCTGTAAACATAAAACGGGTATTTTTAGAGGCATAGAATTTGTGTAATTAAGAACTAAATCCACCAATGAAGAGCAAAGTAATTCTTCTCTCAGGTCTGGCCCAGTGAAAACATACCTGATGAAAACAACCAAGCAGGAGAACAGACAAGAAAACTAAAAATAACAGCCCCCCACACACACCGGAAAGAAAAAGTGTATTTAACAATGTAGGACAGCCCTAGCTGTTTGGCTCAGTGGATAGAGCATCAGCCTGCGGACTGAAGGGTCCAGAGTTCGATTCTAGTCAAAGAAAATGCCTGGGGTGGGGGTTCAATTCCAGAAGCAGCTGATCAATGGTTCCTTCTCATCATTGATGTTTCTCTCTCTCTCTCTCTTGCTGCCCCTTCCTCTCTGAAATCAATACTAATATATATATATATATTAATATATTTTATTGATTTTTTACAGAGAGGAAGGGAGAGAGATTGAGAGCTAGAATCGTCGATGAGAGAGAAACATCAACCAGCTGCCTCTTGCACAACCCTTACCAGGACGTGCCCGCAACCAAGGTACATGCCCTCGACCAGAATTGAACCTGGGACCTCTCAGTCCGCAGACCGACGCTCTACCACTGAGCCAAACCGGTTTCGGCTAAAAAAATTTTTTTCAAAGTAGGATAAGTGAGTTTAAAAGGTGACAAGCAAAAGAAAAGGTAGAATGAATCGCTTCCAAACACACCATTGTATGCTTTTTATCCTTTACTAAGGAAAGAAAATGAATTTTAATGTGGAAAACTTTTCAATTCAAGCAGAACACTTTCAAAAACAAGTCCACAAACTGGAACCCTCCGGGATAAAGGCAGTGGTAAGCCCTAAAACAATCCGCTGCGAGGAAGAGTAAGCCCTGCACGTGTCTATGACAGCTCCGCCTTTTCTCTGTCTGTCACAGACAGCTCCGCTATTTTCCTAAATCTGACTGAGATAAGAGTCCCCTCCTGATGCCCTCACAACTTGATAGCCATGTCCCTCACTATGCTTCCAGATTCAAATATTAAGTGCAATTATGAAAGCTATTTCTAGATATTGCCATCTTTGGTAGAATGAAATAATAGGTGGATTTTCTATATTAAAGTATTTCTCTAATTGTTGGTGAATTAGGGGAAAACACATATTGGTCTTCAATCCCAAAATGACTACATGTAATACACAGTCTATAAAATACTGCAAAATTAGGCCATTTTTCATATGAAAATTTCTATGCCACAATCTTGACAGTCTGGTTTCTTGTCAAAATTCTCTATTCAAAAGAATAACTAAATGTATTCTTACAAATATACAGCTGTTACAATAAAGACTAAAATAGCATTTAAGAAAGGCTCAAAATAGAAGCAAATGACTTCTGATTAAGTCTTAAAATAACTCCCTGTACAAGCTCATGACTCAGGCTGGGACCACGTGAAAAGAAACGGGCTGATCTCTGGGTCCGTGAGGCAACCAATTCTCGGGATCCGGGCAGTGGAGCCACCGTACAGATTTTTTTGGAGTTTCAGAAACTAACCCTTCCCTGGGGAAAGGGAGACCCCATCTACAACGGATTTCGTAGTGGCCTCCAGCCCCAATTCATGTTCACCTGGAACCTCAGAATCTGACCTCATTTGGAAATCAGGTCTTTGCAGATGGAATTAAGGGAAGGATCCTGATGAGGTCATTCAGGATTAGGATGAGTTCCAAACCCAATGACAGTGTTCTCATTAGGGACAGAAAAGGGCACTCAGACACAGAAGGCCGTGTGAAGAAGGACTAAGGCAGAGACACAGCCAAGGAATGTCTGGGCCACCAGAAGCTGAAAGAGACAATGAAGGATTCTCCCTGGGAGCCTGAATTTGCTCCCTGAAGGCTCTTCCAACACCTTCATTTCAGATTTCTAGCCTCTAGAACGATGAGAGAATAATCTCAGTTGTTTTAAGTCAGCCAGTTTGTGGCACTTTGTTACAGCAGCCACAGGAAATGCATTCACCACTTTACGGTGAATGGTGCTTCAGAAAGGTTCCTGGTTCCTTTTGGCAACACCTCTCCCCAAAATAGTCAGATGGTTTTCGGTGGCACTTGGGAAGTATGTGTGTCAAATACCGCTGACCCTGCAGACTGAGAAAAGTCAGCTCTTTTGGATTCTTTTCAATCCCAGTTAAGTCAAAGCCATCTCAGGCTGGTGCAACAGTGAGTACGGCCTCTCTCCAGTGTGCTGACCTCTCTCTGACAGGCATGACCTTAGAGATTTTAGTATTCCTTTTTTTTTTTTTTTTAAATATATTTTATTGATTTTCTTACAGAGAGGAAGAGAGAGAGAGAGAGCTAGAAATGTCGATGAGAGAGAAACATCGACCAGCTGCCTCTTGCACATCCCCTACCAGGGATGTGCCCGCAACCAATATATATGCCCTTGACCGGAATTGAACCTGGGACCTTTCAGTCCACAGACCGACGCTCTACCGCTGAGCCAAACCGGCTTCAGCTCCTTTTTAAAAATTTTTTTTTAAAAATCTTGTTTATTTAGAAAAATGAAATTGGTTTTCCACTTAAAACAGTTCTATGATGATTCCTTTAAAATAAAGTTCGTTGCAGCATTATGTACAACAGCCAAAAGGTGGAAACAAACCAAGGGTTCATCAACAGATGAATAGATAAAGTATGGTATAAACCTACATGGAACATCATTCAGCCATAAAAAGAAGGCAATTCTGATGTATGCTACAACATGGATGAACCTTAAAAATAACATGCTAAGTAAAATTAGTCAGACACAAAGGGCTAGATATTATATGATTTCACTTACATTTGGCAACTAGAATAGGTAAGTTCATAAAGACAGAAAGTATAATAGGGTTACTAAAAAAAAAAAAAAAAAAAAAAAAAAAGAAAGTAGAAAGGGCCCAGCCGTTATGGTTCAGTGGTTGAGCATCAATCCATGAATCAGGTGGTCACAGTTCAACTTCAGGTCAGGACACATGTCACGTTGTGGGCTCAATCCACAGTAGGGGGCATGCAGGAGGCAGCTGATCAATGATTCTCTCTCATCATTGATGTTTCTATCTCTCTCTCCCTCTCCCTTCCCCTGGAAATCAATTTTTAAGAATTATTTATTTATACACACCCATATATTTATATAAAAGAAAATAGGGCTGAAAATAGGGTAGAAAAATGTATTTATTTAGTACATTTTATGTTATGTATATTTTACCACAATAAAGCTTTAAAAACTGCTACAAAAATGCATATAAATAAAAAAATCAATTGATTTAGAGCACATGTGTCAAACACAAGGCCCGCGGGCCAAATCCGTCCCGCCAGGCCTTGCAATGTGGCCCGCACCACGCTGTCATCACTGCACTCCGCTGCATTTCCATCACAATGACAGTTTATGACTGTTCAGTAAACCATTCGGCCGGCGATTTAGGCTGGATTTTAGATTTTGGCCCCTTCTCTGATTGAGTTCGACACCCCTAATTTAGAGAAATATATTGAACATATGACAATACAGGTAGAATGCAGGCCCAGAGAGACAGCCTGAAAATAGAACTTCATGGAGAAAAAAACACCAAGCTCCTTGTTTTTCTTATCTCCAATTGCTCCCTGCAACACCCAGATTCCAAACAGGTGTCCTGCTTCCTGCTTTGGCGTTACACCAACACTGGTCTTGCAGGAAGCCTGCCTTTAGCAGCCCCGCTACAAACCTTGCCCTTTTCTGAGGTCAAGCATTGGTTGCCTGGATGGCTCTGCAGGCACTTAATTCATCACCCAATTTTGGCTCACTGTCTGTACTATTAAATGTATTACTAATATTTTAGCTTGACACATCTGTAAAAATAAATCCACTAATACTGAAGCCTATAAAACTAAAAGTGCGAGATAACCTGCCCTCCTCTCCTCTCACTGCTCAGAGCAGGGGTCACAACTCAAAGGTTTCCAGGGGCCACATGGTGTTACCAGGGGAGCAGCTGCCCCTCAGTGCCTTGTATCCGCTGAGCAGAATGCAGGGGGCTGTTAAGAGAGCTGCTTTTTCAAGAGAAGCTAGGAGTTCAGATTTTTATATAAAAACTCCAGGATTTTATAGGAATTAATAATATTTAAATATAGAACAATTTTAAATTATTTTTAAATCAATTTAAATTTCGATCAACTGCTTTTAAATCAAGTGAAACAAAATGTGTTAGGTACAGTTCGGGCTCTGACAAGCCTAGGAGAAGAGAAAGGGTACCAGGCTGTGCCCCACGGCCTAGGACGAGCCCCAGCAGGGATGGTTAGATTTAACAAGTTGCAGGAGGCAGAGATACTATTCACAATGTGCTCTGGTGGGGCCTGCCCAGCCTCAGCTCAGCTGAGGGGGTTCTATACTATTAGAAGCTGAATATACACTTGAGAATTCATTTAAACATATAATATTTCCTGAATATTATGTATAACAATTTCAAATTGTGCTTCATACAATGGTCACATGGCTTGTTTTAGAAAGTTTATACACTACAGCAGCAATCGCCACTGGTGGTCCGTGAGGTCCGAAAGGTTGGTAGAGCTATCAACACTGTTTAATATTTAACACTTGTTAGAGCCCTGTCCACTCACTGAAGACCACTGGTGGTCCATGAGGTCCGAAAGGTTGGTGACCACTGCTCTATAGCTTAGCAGGCAGATTAACCCCCAGGGGAGCTCAAATGTGATAAATTTTAACCATCCAATTCTTTAATATTTTAAAATGGACCTTATTTCCATTCACAAATTCAATTTTGTAACACACTTGTTAATTTCTCAATATGAATGCTCAAGTTTAAGTTTAAATTCAATTTTCAATTAGTCCTTACGCCACAAGACGATGCTCACTCTCTAATGACCACTGTGCAAACACTAAGGCATGGACATCCACAGACTGAGGCCAGCATAGTGCCATGGAGAAAACATAGAATATATAGGCCAGAGGGTGTGGACACATGACTCAACTCAGCCACTTTCTAGTTCTGTGACATTGGATATATCCCGACTTTTCTGGGCATTATTTTCATCAACTGTAAAAAATGGGGTGATGATAACATTCAATCTACCTCCCATGGATATCAGGGGACAGCATGAGCTATAATTTGTAAAGCAATCTGTAAGCTCTATAGTTTTATTATTCTCAGCTGTGAGAATAGAATAAATTGGGAACTACCAACATTGTTTAATATTTAACACTAGTTTGAGCCCTGTCTAGTGTGGTTCAATTGGTTGGAGTATACACCAAAAGGTGGCAGGTTCAATTCCCAGTCAGAGCATATACCCAGGTTTTGGGTTCGATCCCTGGTTGGGACATGTGAGGGAGGCAACTCATCGGTGTTTCTCTCTCTAAGGTTAAATAAATAAATAAAATAATGCTAATTAGAGCCTTCCCTTAAGATTATAAAAATGTGCGTAAATAACATAACATTGAGGGCTCCATGTTAGCTTGAAACAGACATATACTTTAAAAAAGCTAAGTTGTAGCTGAAACCGGTTTGGCTCAGTGGTACAGCGGCGGTCTGCGGACTGAAAGGTCCCAGGTTCAATTCCGGTCAAGGGCATGTACGTTGGTTGCGGGCACATCCCCTGTAGGGGTGTGCAAGAGGCAACTGGTTGATGTTTCTCTCTCATCAAAGTTTCTAGCTATCTATCTCCCTTCCTCTCTGTAAAAAATCAATAAAATATATTAAAAAATATTTTCTAAAAAAGCTAAGTTGTAAAGGTATCAACCCTAATCTAATAGAATATTAAATAATGTGGTAATATAAACTCCATTGATAAGAAAGCCACCATAACTATCAGTGTTGCTAAAATTAAAAACAACCAAAAAAACCCACCCATAATTATGTTAAAAATGAACCTACCTTCCAATTTGCCAGTTTTTTAAACTCTATAATTTTTATAACTGCTCCCATGAGAATACCTAGAAGAGAAAATGTAAGTTTAATATAAATTTAAGGTATGAGAAAGATTAGTCAGGTTTATTATTCTAGAGAAAATGAGTATTATTATGTCTCTAAGTGGCTTTTACGAATTTCTGCAAGTTCTCTGTCTGAAAACACAAGAATGGAAATTAGTGTGAAGTTTTATGAGTTACATGAGCTTCTCACTTGCATCTCAGGCAAACATACTATCATGAAGTCTACAGCCATCTCAGCTTTACAAAATAGGACCTGGGAACAGTTTGCCTGACACAGAAGATTTAGCACCATTCATTTTTCTATATCCACCCATTTTCAATGAGAAATGGGAGAAATCTTACAAGCCAACTTTGCCTCTTAGTCCTACCATTTTCAAAACTGAACCCAAGATCTTTCTCAGACTCAGATGGCAGCCTAATGTAGAGTCTTTAGTCACAGAGATAAAACCAAATGCTGAAAATAAGTAAAAATTATCTGAAATTCCTGGAACAAAACAGACCATTTAAGTTCAGGCATGTTTCCATAAGGCTGACAGTTTCATTACTCTCTCATAAAATAATTCTCAAACAAACATCACGGGTACAATTTATGACTGCTGTGTTATTCACAAGGTAAATGATTCTCAATCCTGTTGGCTCATCAGAATCACCATGGAGCTTTTTATAAAATCGAGACACCAGAGCAGAACTCCAGACCCCCTGAATCACAATCTCTGGTAGGGGGTGACACAAAGCAAGCCTGAAGACCACTGTCATAGACACTTAATGACAGACTCCCCTTCCCCCATCAAATACAGAAAACTGAAGAAAAAGACCTTGGGAGGGTGAGGAGACAATACGAGGATAAAGAAGTTTATTGAGAAAAGAAGCTGTACTGACACAAATTGTCATGGAGAAGGAGGGACTGGAGGTGAAGAGAGATGAGCAATTTTAACTTCATAAACCTCTATACTATTTGAATTGCTATATATTATTAAAAGAGTAATAAAGTTACTTTGAAAGAGAGACCACGACAAAAGAGATCTGACCAATAAAGGGAACCGATGACCATATTTGCAGAACAGGAGCCCTCTCCAGCTAGAGTCCTCCAGTTGCTTCTTTTTCCTTCTCTCTTCAAATTGTCATACATTTTAAGGAGTTTTATACAAATTTTTATCAAGTAACTAGTTCATTAATACTCTTAAAATGTATTAAAAAAAAAACCAAAAAAACACAAAAGTCCCTTTTGATGAAATCCCACTCCCTCTCTTCCTGCCCCAAGGTAACCAACCATAGTGACAGATTTGATGAATATTCTATCAGACCCTTCTCTATCCCTTTATTTATATTTAAACATATAGTCTTGGTGTGTGTGTGTGTGTGTGTGTGTGTGTGTGTGTGTGTGTGTTCACAAGGCACACCTATGTATATTTATATAAAATTTATGATGCTGTAATATATCTTTCTACTATTTGCTATTTTGCTCAGTGTTAAGTCTTGATCTATATGTAAAAATAGACCAGGGATCATGCAAAACTACCTCATTCTTTTTAACAGTTCTACAGCATAGCATAAAAATACCACAGGTTGAATAGATATTTCTGTAAAGGAGATACACAAATGGCCAACAAGTACATGAAAAGATGCTTAACAACATTCGTCATTAGGGAAATGCAAATCCAAACCACAAATACAAATAAAAAATACTTCTTCATACCCACTAGAATGGTTATAATTTTCAGAAACACAGATAAACCGGAACCCTTATACATTGATGGTGGGAATGTAAAATGGTGCAATTGCTATGGGAAACCAGTTTGGCAGTTCCTCCAAAAGTTAAACCGAGTTACCACAGGATTCAGGAATTCGATCAAGACAAGTAAAAGCATACTTTCCTACAGAAACTTGTATATGGATGTTCATTGATAGCATTATTCAAAATAGCCCAAAGGTGGATACAACCTAAATGTCTATCAAGTGATTAAAAAAAAAAAGTGGTATATCCGAACAATGTAATATTATCTGGCAATAAAAAGGAATGAAGCAGTAATTCATGGTGCAATGTGGATGAATCTTGAAAACATGCCTAGTGCAAGAAGCCAGACATAAAAGGCGTATTTTATGATGCATTTAAATGAAATATCCAGAATAGGCAAATCTATAGAGTCAGAAATGATTGCCTAGGATTGAGGAGTAGGGCTTTGAGGGTAATAGCTAAAGGGTGTGAGGTTTCTTTATAGGATGATAAACATGTTCTAACGTCAATTTTTAGAATAGTTGCACAATCCTGTGCCTCTACTAAAAACACTGAATTGTACAGTTAAAAAGGGTAACTTGTATGGTATGTGAATTAAATTGCAATAAAATTGTTATAGGGGAAATAAGGGAAATGGAGAGTAACTGCAAATAGATAAAGGGTTTTTTTTTTTGAAACGACAAAACTGTTCTGGACTTAGATGGTGGTGGTGTTTGCAACAACCCTGTGAATTGTACACTTGGAAACTGTGAAGTTTATGGTATGCAAGTTACATTTTAAATTTTTTTAAGTCACATTTTAAAAACTAATCCCCCAGTGATGACTGTCTCCAACTGTTTGCTATTGACAGTGGTGCTGCAGTGAACACCCTGGTGCATGCCTCTGTGTAGCAGTGTTGTCCTAAGGCGGATTCAGAGTCAATGAATGGCATGAGCTTTTTTTAATATCTGAAAATGTTGTCAAATTGTCCTCCAAAGTGGCAGTATGGCTTTTCACCAGAGCAGTCCCTTCATCCTCACCAACCCTGGAAAATCATCAGACTAAACATTTCTGCCAATATGGGGGCAAGACACTTCTTTACAGTTTCAGTTTGCATTTGCAGTCAACCTGCCTTCAGTAATCATTCCTGAATACCAGGAAAGCTGAACCTCTTTTCATGGTTTCAGATTTCACTTTTAAAGCTAGTGTTTTTCTGCTCTACTAAAACCTCAACTTTTGTTTTCCTTTGTAAATGTACACCAAACTTTAATACCATGACTAACACTTGTAATTACACATGAAACAGTAACATTTAAAAATAAAAAAATTATTCTATTGCCTAAACTTGTGCTTATATTCTTACTAGAGGCCCAGTGCACAAAATTCGTACATGGGTACAGCCCCTAGGCCTGCGATTATTTCCAGTACTATTATTATAATTGCTTGAGTAATCCTTTTGAGAAGTCCTAGGACTAAACTATGGCACAGCATTAAATTGGAAAACGATTTCTCTACCTTTTGAGATTCAGGTCCAATGTGAGGAGAAATGAATTTTTAGCACACAACGGGCCACCAGGTAGAAATAATACCCTAGATACAATTTTGAATATTCCTATCAGTAAAGAGAATTTGATCATGCACTTTCAAGTTATAAATGTGTATTATTATAAAACATTGCTACTATATTATATAATATACACAAAAATTAGAAATTGTAAAAAAGTGAGGTTAAAATGAAATAGAAACATAAATCCTACTATTTTCTTTTAGCCTCAATGGATCTTCATGCACACACTCATTATGGACATTACTGAATTAAATAAAAAATTGGGAACAATAATGATTTGTTGAGACTCTTCTCCTAGGGTTTGTCATTGCAACTTATTTCTAATCCTCAAGAGAAGGTTGCAGGTAGGAAGGCTCAAAGAGTTTAAGAAGTTTGTCTGACAACTCAGGGCCAGCAAGTGACATTGGACTCACTACTGGCTCATGCGTACATTCTACTACCTCATGATACTGGTCTACCATGACCACAGTAAAATATCAGTGTTCTTGATAATTAACATTACAGGGAAAATGCTTAGAATGCATTAATTGTAATAACAGGTTACAAAACAGTACGTTGAACATGAGCCTAGTTCCCTTAAAGAATATACTAGTATATGCACACACATATTTGCACTGTGTTAAAAATAAACACCCAGACACACAGTACAGATAATTTTGAAAAGCCAGTTGATTCTACTACTTATACTAAAGTAGATACTACTACAAAGATACTCTAAAAGACAGAAGACCTGCCAGTAGGATGGGAATCAGTACCTTGGGGTTGTTTGTCTATGTTCTGGGGGAAAGGCTGTTTAAACGTTTTGTTTTTAAAATAGCTTACTTCTTCAAAGGAATGGTATTCCTTACTAATATGAAGAGAACAGTGATATGGTGAAAGAGGAAATTTATAGAAATCAGCACCGATATAGCCAGTTTCAGAATGCAATTCTTTAACAACTTTTTACTTTTAAAATTTAGACTATCTCACCTGGCTGGCATGGCTCAGTAGTTGCATGTCGACCTATGAACCAGGAGGTCATGTTTTGATTCCTGGTCAGGGCACATGCTCAAGCTTCAGGATCGATCCCCAGTGTGGGGCGTGCAGGAGGTAGCCAATCGATGATTCTCTCTTATCATTGATGTTTCTATCTTTCCCTCTCCTTTCCTCTCAGAAATAACAAAAATAATTTAGACTACCTCACTATTCTGGCATATCTGGAAGATTTAAATATAAAATACAGCTTAAAGATGATAAAATGCTGAGACAAGAGAAGATGACCATAAAACTAGGGAAGTCAAAGCAAGGCTCCAGGCAAAAGCAGGAAGCTATTACACATTTAGCTAATGGCAGCAAAACAGCAACACGGACTTCTAAGAATAAATTATCACCTCCGATCTGTGTTTCCAGAAACAAGGAGGCGAAAAGTCTGTTAGCACTTTTCCTTAGAATGTGACAGCCTGGAGAATCCTCTGTCTAATGCAGTCATTTTATCAATCTGACAACCAGTTTTGGCCTCAAAGATAGCTATTCTAATACCAACACATGAATATCTGTTTCTTCTCTAATAAATCAAACACCTCAGACTCAGGGAGAGTTAGCTGTGGAACATCTTAAGTTGCATCAATATTAGACTCTGAGTCTAAAAAGTAATGAAAGCTATTATAGTTAGGAGCCTCCTTTTAAGTTTCCTTTAAAAACATTTTTAATAACTTAAGTACAATTGGAATATAATTACTGTATTTGCTTTTTTTCCAGAATTACTGGTAGTCAATAATTCAGGAACTGAATGATTTTTCCTTATCTTCCACTCAAAACCCTTATCGACAGAAAGAGCACTAATCTTAAAAAAAAAAATCAAAAAAATAAAATCCTTTAGCCAAAACAAGAAGGAATTGTCCAGTCGGTGTGGCTCAGTGATTAAGTATCGACCTATGAACCAGGAGATAAAGGTTCGATTCCCAGTGGGGTCACATGCCCGGGTTGACCCCCAGTGTGGGGAGTGCAGGAGGCAGCCAATCAATGATTCTCCCATTGATGTTTCTATCTTCCCCTCCTGTTCTATCTCTAAAATCAATAAGAATATATATATTTAAAAATAAGAAGAAATTACTATAATTAAAAACACAGATATATTTAAGAAGGTTATGACAGGGAGCACTTTTGTGTATTCTGTTCACTCAATGATCCAATCAAATCCAGTTGTAAGTTAAAACCAGGTTTTCTATTTATTAGTGATATTCAGGCTACACCGTGGCATTGGAAAGTCAAATTTCCAGGCCTTACTTACCCCCATTGTGGTCTTCCCATGCTAAAATAAAGTATGATTGTGAAAAAAGTCTACACCTGTTTTTGCTACATATGACAGAGGACAGTGGGCAATACCATTATTCTTTTTCTTTCCTTATAAATTCCAGCCCTAAATCTGTAAACAGTGAATCAGCCCTATACGTTCAATGAAAATAAATACATGAGCTTAAGTAATACATGGAAAGAATAGTAAAAAGGAAAGAACATGCAAAAATGATATAAACTTAAACCAAATAGATTGATATATATGTCTATAAATGGTTTGGAAGAGAATGAAGCATGATAAAAACAGGTGAAATTGTCAATGAAAAGGATTTTTGTATAACTGTTTAACCGAGCCAAAAATTTTTTTATTTTTATTTTTTAAAATTTTATTGATTTTTTTCACAGAGAGGAAAAGAGAGGAATAGAGAGCTAGAAACATCAATGGGGGTGTGCAGGAGGCAGATGATCGATGTTTCTCTCTCATTGATGTTTCTAGCTCTCTATCCATCTCTTTTCCTCTTTGTGAAAAAATGCCCTTGACAGGAATCGAACCTGGGACCCTTCAGTCCACAGGCTGACGCTCTATCCACTGAGCCAAACCGGTTTCAGCCAAAATTTTATTTTTTAAAAAGATGCCCAAATTACGGAATTTCATTAAGTATTAAAGTATCTGAAAGCTTTGAACAAGGGCCAAGGAAATATCTTTAGAACATCATGTTGATATTTTTTATAAAAAATAAAAAAGTCTCAAGTTTCATTTAAAAATACAATAAAATATAAGGGAGAAATGTGTCTTTACAGTAGTTAGGTCTTTTTTTCTATAACAACACTTCCTTAGGAACTTTGAAGACTCAGCCATCACACAAAGGCCAATAATATCTCTAAGTGACTCGGACTTCTATACTTCTGCTAGAAGAGGTAGGGTGGGAAGTTTATCCTGAAAGAATGAAGACCCCATTTTCTCTGGCAGCTTCATCTTGGTGGGTTTTTTTTTTGGCACAAAAGTTGGAAATTCTTGACATGGTGAAAATCTCACTATTTTGTTACATTTTGCTCCAGTACTACAAAAGTTCTCCTTCAATTCACACAGCTTTATGAAATGCAGAACTATTTTGATAGTTTTGCCAGCTTTTCTAAATTGTAACCAAATGTCCCTTAATAGAATAAAAACTACTTTCTGATCCCAGCACTCTCTCTGGTAGTTCTCTTAGTGTTCCAATCACCTGAGTTAGCAAATAATTATTTAAAATAATTATTTTCCCTTATCCCTCCCAAGACCTGCCTGTACAGTCTACAGTCTACAAAAGAGAGAAATTCCAGGTAGAATGGAATGCTCTCTGAAGACCTGAGATCTGACTCTGACATTAAAGTGAGCCATTTCTCTTTCCTAAACTATAAAGTGGGAGCCCCATTGGCTGTCAAATTCAGTGGCACTATGAATTAAAGTGCCATTTACTTGTCTTAGTTCAGTAGAACGTCAGCATAACCGCGTAGCAGAGGTCAATGTGCCCCAATGTGTTCTAGAAGTAGAAAAGGCCTTTGAGGGGTTTCTATGTGACCTTCATGAGATCATCACCCCTCTCTGAGCCACAGTGTCCTCACCTGAAAAACGGGATCGTAACACCCTCATGGCAGGTTGCAGTGAGGATTACGTGAGATCAGGAATGTACCCAATCTTTTGTGGTTCCTGGCAGTAGGAGGCACTAAAAAAATCATAGTTATTGCAACTGCTTTTTTATTAAACTCACCAATAAGCACTTACCTAAGGAAACAACAGCAACACTCTCTGGTAAGAAATGTAATCTGTATCGAATCAGTAAATGCACCAATATGATGCAGATAGCTGTAGGAAAAACAAGACATTGTTAAAACAGACATTTTGAAATGATAAATACCAAGTCCAAGGCAATAATTACTTTTGGAGGGCTGCCAGGGAAATGGATAACTGTCAGTGAGACTGTAAACCTCAGTGGCATTTGCAATCTCTTATTTCTTTAACTGGAAACTCATGGTATTTGTAACATTTTCTCTATACTTCCTTACATCTAAGGGCATCCAACCTCAAATATTTTTCTAAGCAATTAAAATTATTCAAACTTCCCAGATTCTAAGAAATGGTCCTCAACTTTATTGAAATAGCCATCAACTGGAAACTCCAAATAGTGAAGACCCAGTCAGTGAGATCAATCACTTTTATGTGACTATAATATGCTGACATGAAATATTTTACCACCTGGTGATTGGGTCTCTAACACAGAGGAAAGTGAGGGTGTTTCATAAACAGAACAAAGTAAATGCTTTGGTTTGGTGATAAGAATGCCAGAAACCTAAAGATGGATACTTGCTCTCCAGCTGGGTACTGGGGCTCCCACTGGTTGAGGGCTCCCCAATTGCCAGGCACCGTTCTGAGCACTTCCAAACGCTCTCATTTGACCCCCAACACCTCTCTTAACTATTATTACCATTCTCTCCTGACTCTAGATGAGAAAACTGGGGCTCAGAGATCACTTCAATGGGAAGGGCTGCAGGGTGGAGCCAGATTCCAAACTTGTGCCCTTAACTTCGGGCACTCCCACCTTCCTCCTGGCTGCCTTCATGCCTTAGTCACCAAAAATGCAAATAATGTCTGACTTTCCTCACAGAGGTGTTGTCATGAAAGAAAAGAATATAAAACTATTTAAAAGGAATAAATATTTCTGGATTCCCCCCCCCCTCCCCCCTCCCCCCGCACAAAGTATACTTTTACATAAATAATTCCTAAATGTAATTTCATAGTCCAAGTGTTAATGTGCATGTCTCTTTTTGTTAGGCATCTAGGTGGTATACTACCTTCTCAAAGTATCATCTTAGTAATACTAAAAATAATTTTTTTAAAGAAGTCTTTAAACAATCTGCATGGCTGTTAAATGGCCACCCTCAGAGCCACATTGACAAATAAGATATCTTTAGCTCTACCAAAATGCACCAGGTGGCCAGAGAAAGGAAATAGTTGTAAATATAGAAATTTTGTCCTTTCATTCTGTGCTCTAAACCAATAGTCACCAACTGGTGGTCCGCAGACCACTGGTGGTCTATGAGCTCTGAAAGGTTGGCATCGCCGCTCTATACTAACAATCTGTGGTGATATTATAAATATTTAACCTATTTAGAAAAATCCCACATTAAATTCTAAGAGCAAGAAAAAAGTTCCAGTGTATAATCATGTGACCAAAGCATGCCTATGGTCTAAAAAGACAAGCGCGTGAGCACGTAAGTAGATAGATAATAAATTAGGGAGCTGAATCAGTTTCTGATCCTTTTTTGCACCAAGCTGGATGAAAAAAATTAATTTAAAACATGTATTCTCATAAATCAAACCATCTGCATCTTTCGAGCAGAAGGGGAAACTATTAACGAAAGAGCTAAATATAGAGCTCAAGGAAGGTCATCAGCCATTAAAGAGAATGAGGTCTGAAAACAAGCCACAGGATGGGAGAAAATATTTATAAATCATATATCTGATAAGGGTCTAGTATCCAGAATATATAGAGCTCTTACAACAAAATGAAAATACAATTGAAAAATGAACAAAGGACCAAAATAGACATTTCTGCAAAAATATATAAATGACCAATAAACACATGAAAAGATGCTTAACATCATTAGTCATTAGCAAAATACGAATCAAAGCCACAATGAGATACAACTTCACTATAATGGCTATAATAAACAAACAAACAAAAAACTGGAAAATAAGGGTTAGGATGTAAGGAAATTGGAACCCTTGGGTCTTGCTAGTAGGAATGTAAAACAGTGCAGCCAGCTAGCCTTTGTGGAAAAGTCTGGCAATTCCTGAGAAAGTTATAGAGAATAACCATTTAACCTAGCACTTCCACTCCTAAGTATTGTATATATCCAAGAGAAACAAAAACCTATGTCCATACAAAAACATGTACACAAATGTTCATAGCAGAACTATTTACAATAGTCAACAGAAGGAAACAACACAAATGCCCATCAACTGAGGAATGGATAAACATAATGTATCCTTAATTCAGCCATACAAAGGAATATAATTCTAACACTTGCTATAACATGGGTGGACCTTGAAGACATGACGCTAAATGAAAGAAGACAAACATAAAAGATCATATATGATTCTATTTGTATAAAATATTTTAAGTATGTAAATTCTTAGAGATTGAAAGCAGAATTTTATGTTTACCAGAGATTGGGGGGAGGGGTAAATGGGGAGTGAATGCTTTTAATGGTTATCAGGTTTCCTTTTGGGGTGGTAAAAATGAACTAAATGGTGGTGATATAGTAAATGCCACTGAATTGTACAATTTAAAGTGGTAAATTTTTTAAAAAATATATCTTTTATTAATTTTTTATATAGAGAGAGCCAGAAACGTCGATGAGAGAGAAACATCAACCAGCTGCCTCCTGCATCCCCCACACTGGGAATGTGCCCACAACCAATGTACATGCCCTTGACCGGAATTGAACCCGGGACCTTTCAGTCCACAGACTGACGCTCTACCACTGAGCCAAATATTTTGCGGAAATTGGTTTGGCTCAAAGGATAGAGCGTCGGCCTGCGGATTGAAAGGTCAGGTTCAATTCCGGTCAAGGGCATGTACCTTGGTTGCAGGCACATCCCCCTGGGGTGTGTGTAGGAGGCAGCTGATCGATGTTTCTCTCTCATCAATGTTTTTAACTCTCTATCCCTCTCTCTTCCTCTCTGTAAAAAATCAATAAAATATACAAAGTGGTAAATTTTATGTTATGTTTATTTTTAGCATATATATATATATATCTCCTTTAAAAAGAAAAAAGAGGATGAGGTATATAAAAAGCACTAACTTGGAAAGACCTCCAAGACATCCTGTGATATGAAAAAGCAAGCTATAGACCCCATTTATATTAAAATAAACAAAACCCAAACTATGTGCCTGTATGTGTATATGTGTTTACAAATACACAAAAGTATATACACAATACAAGTACATCTTTCCAAGTTCACCTGGGGGCCTGAAAAAGCAACAGGAACAAAAACTTCCATGTGGCATGGAGAGTGTGCATACCACAAGTTAAAGTGCTTCCAACTTTTCATGCTTGAAGCAGTAATTATGGAAGCTATATTAAAACACAGTTGTGCCAATTTTAATAACGCTAATAAATTTAATGGCTCATAAAATGGATGCGTCAAATGATGCTAATTGCTAACTCTAGTGCAAGTCAAGAACAGTGACTCACCATTGTTCCTGCAGAGTCAAAGTTCAGCAAGAGTTAAGTGTATATAAGTCAACAGATTCCAAGCTTCTAAAAATCAAGAGTTTTGGCATCCCTTCTCAAGAAAGAGGAAAACAATGTACTAATCCTTTCCCACCCTTTTGGGACACAAATGTTACAGTTTCATTTGAATGACTAACATAGTAAACAAAGTGGCAAATGTGTTCCAGGTTAGTAGTTCCTGAAGAATGAACTATGGACTGATGATTTCCCTCAACTCACCAGAGTTCACGTAGTGAGTTAGCAAATTACCTATTAACAGTATCTTTTTTGTACTCTATCAGACATATCTAATCAGAAATATATAATAATTGTGTTATCTTGATAATATACAAGAGCAGAGGAAAAATGTCTTCAAAATTACTTAAAAAGCATTCCTTTCTGCTGAAGAAATGTTGACCTGCACTTTAAAAGCAGAGATTCCAACTCATAAACTGCCAAGAATCTGATTAGGTGAAAATGGAACCTGCGTGACATTAGTGGGACTCTAGAGTCTGTGTTTATGAACTGTTTGAAGAGAAGACAATCCAAGATAAATATACAGCACTTTAAATACAGTTCAGTCCTTTCTGGCCCCAAACATGCATTAACACTGGGCAGAATTTTGCCTGGATGAAAAAGCACATTAAAAAACCTGTTTTGTGGTCTTTGGCACAAAGCAATCTTAAATGCTACACATCCTGAAAATTACTTAGAATATCTTACTATGCTTTTCGTCCTCCTGTGAAAAAAGTGATTACAAAAGCTTTCCCCCCCCCCCAACCAATCCTTTTATATTCTCTAATATATCAAGCTAACAACAATGTAAGTAGATTAATAATACTTCAGGATTTAAAGAACTAAAGATTTCTTGATCAAGAAAAGAACTGCTTTTCTTTTTTGTATTCAGCTACTATATTAAAAGCAAAAACAAAACAAGAATCCTTGATTGTTGAAGTAATCCCCTGGAAACAGAATTTAATTACATTTACAAGATAAAAGGTTGCCTAGGACAGTAAATCTATAAAAGACATTGTACACTTGAGCATTGTTGGTGGGAATGTAAAATGGTGCAGCCTCTGTGGAAAAGTTTGGCAGTTCCTGAGAAAGTTACACAGAGTAACCATTCACCCAGCAATCCCACTCCTAGGTTCATACTGTTTATCCAAGAGAAAGAAAAATATATGTACACACAAAAATGTGTACACAGCCCTAGCCGGTTTGGCTCAGTGGAAAGAGCATCGGCCTATAGACTGAAGAGTCCCGGGTTTGATTTTGGTCAAGGGCACACGCCAGGAGTTGCCGGCTCAATCGCCAGTGGGGAGTATGCAGGAGGCAGCCAATCAATGAGTCTCTCTCATCATTGATGTTTCTCTCTCTCTTTCCCTCTCCCTTCCTCTCTGAAGTCAATAAAAATCTATTTAATAAAACAAAAACAAAAAAATGTGTACACAAATGTTCATAGTAGAACTATTTACAATAATCAACAGGTGGAAACAACCCAAATGCCCATCAATTGATGAATGGGTAAACATAATGTGATGTCCTTACAATGAAATATTATTCAGCCATACTGGTTTGGCTCAATGGATAGAGCATCAGCCTGCGGACTGAAAGGTCCCAGGTTCGATTCCGGTCAAGGGCATGTAACTGGTTGCAGGCACATCCCCAGTGGGGGGGTGCAAGAGGCAGCTGATCGATGACTCTCTCATCGATGTTTCTAACTCTCTATCTCTCTCCCTTCCTCTCTGTAAAAAATCAATAAATATATTTTTTAAAAATAGTTCTTTCTGTGCTTTGTTTTGTTTTTATTGATGAGAGATAAGGAAGAGCCCTAGGACTTTAAATAAAATTACTGTATTATTGCACCAAAAGGTTGCTGGTTCAATTCTTGATGTTTTTCTATCATACATGCTTCTCTCTCTCTCTCTTTAAAATCAATAAAACATATATATACGTATATATCTCCTACATCATAAAACTTAATATGCAAACTGACTGAACAGTGGAAGGATCAGTCGCTATGATGATCACTGACCACCAGGGGGCAGATACTCAATGCAAGAGTTGCCCCTAGCCCACAGGCCCCAGGTCAGCCAAGGTGGGTGCCAGCACTCCCCCACCCCCACCCCCAGCTCCCCACAGGTCAGCCCTGATCACCGGCCAGGCCTAGGGACCCTACCATGCCCAAATTTCATGCACCAGACCTCTAGTCTAATAAGTTTAAATCCTCACTTGAGGATGTTTTTTCCATTGCTTTTCAGAGAGAGTAGCAGGAAGGGATGGAAGGAGGGAGGAAGAGAGGAGAGAGAGAGAGAGAAAAACCAATGTAAGAGAGACACACTAACTGGTTGCCTTTCACATGTGCCCTGACTGGGGAGAGGGGCGAACCTGCAACTGAGGTACATGTCCTTGACAAGGAATCAACCCAAGACCCTCCTGTGGGCAGCTGATGCTCTAACCATTGAGAACACCAGCCAAGGCATAAAAACATTTTTTATTTTTTTTTTTAAACGGACTGAAGGGTCTCAGGTTCAAGTCCAGTCAAGAGTACATACCTTGGTTGTAGGCTTGATCCTTGGCCCCACGGAGGCAGCCAATTGATGTCTCTCTCACATCGATGTTTCTCTCAATCTCTCCCCATTCCTTCCATTCTCTCTCTAAAAAAAAAAAAAATCAATGGAAAAAATATCCTCGGGTGAGGATTAACAACAAGAAAAAATTACTGTATTATTAAAATTGGCTTTTAAAGAACCTGACTAAAGTGTGAAAGAAGTAACACTTTCCCTTGAAAAACACTTAACGGACATCAGAGAAATACTCTGCACCTTTAAATCCTGTTGCACCTTTCACTTTTCTAAAAAGATCTAATTGAAAATATGACTAACTATCATTAAAGAAGAGTGGAAACTGTAAACATGCCAGCTTCACTTTTCAAATGAGAGTTTGGACTTGGGTCAAGTTCTAAGCTATTTCTTCTGTCGTCAGCTAATCCAAAGTGGTTGTGCAGTTTCAATTGGATATTTTTAGGTGTGTTTAACACAGCTGTCTACTCTCCATAGTGTCTGGAAGGCACCGAAGTTAATGCCTTTCATCTAAACTTCTTGACTGATGTCTGGTAATCTGGCTACTAGCCTCTAGTTCCCAGATCTTAGGTATGTCGATCGCTTAACCTCTCTGGGCCTAAATTTCCTCACCCATTAAAGGAGGAGGTTTCTCAAAGTCACTAATTATCCGAGAGATGCAAATCAAAACAATAATTCGGTATCATCTCTCACTTGTCAAAACGGCCAACATCAACAAATCTACAAACGACAAGTGTTGGCGAGGTTGCAGAGAAAAAGGAACCCTCGTGCACTGCTGGTGGGAATGCAGACTGGTGCAACCACTGTGGAGAACATTATGGAGTTTCCTCAAAAAACTGAAAATGGAACTCCCATTTGACCCAGTAATCCCACTCCTAGGAATATATCCCAAAAAACTAGAAACACCAATCAGAAAGGATATATGCACCCCTATGTTCATAGCAGCACAATCTACAATAGCCAGAATTTGGAAACAGCCTAGGTGCCCGTCAGCAGATGATTGGATCAAAAAACTATGGTACACATGGAATACTATGCTGTCATAAAAAAGAAGGGATTCTCATCATTTGCAGCAACCTGGATGGAATTGGAGAACATCATGCTGAGTGAAATAAGCCAATCAATGAAAGAGAAACACCACATGACCTCACTCATTTATGGATAATAAAGAACATTATAAACTGATGAACCAAAAGATAGATATAGAGACAGTAAACCAACAAGCAGACTGTCAAATCACAACAGATAGGGTAGGGAGATCTGGGGGAGATAATAGATCAACCGAAGGACTTGTATACATGCATATAAGTACAACCAATGGACATAAAACTCTGGGGAAGGAGGGTATGTATGGGGGGGGGGGGCAATGTTAAAATATGTACACAGATAATAATTTAATAAAAAAAAATTAAAAAGGAGGAGGTTGAACAAAATGAGATTTTAAGTTTGACACAGTGAATCTGTTGAAAGAAAAATATTACATAAGTGAATAACAGCAGAGGTGCTATACAGATATGGTGAAAACCATGACCTTGGTTAATTAAATGACAGAGATTAAGGATAACAGTGTGCTAGGGCAAGGGCATCTGATCTTTTCCTCAGAAAAACCTTTACACAAAATTTTACATAGCCGAAACCGGTTTGGCTCAGTGGATCGAGCATCAGCCTGCAGACTGAAAGGTCCCAGGTTCAATTCCGGTCAAGGGCATGTACCTTGGTTGCGGGCACTTCCCCGGTAGGGGGTGTGCCAGAGGCAGCTGATCGATGATTCTCTCTCATCGATGTTTCTAACTCTCTATCCCTCTCTCTTCCTCTCTGTAAAATAATCAATAAAATATATCTTTAAATTTTTTTTTTTTTTTTACATAGAAGCTTAATGGAGATGAGACAAAATGCTGCTCTGGTCAAAGTCAGATGCCTTCCCATTTGACTGCCTTTACTTTCTGCTACCATACACACACAGACTTCCATGAGCAGAGTTTGAAATCCACTAACCTAGATGTTCAAGGTTCTTTCTATGTCAAAAACCTTTAGTTCCCTCTTCCAAAGGACATCTAAGATATTTCAAAAAGGGCTCTTCAGAATTGTTAAGCTCTATGCTTTTATAAAAAAGAAGTAATCTGCTACAATGTTAGGCACTATCACAGTCCTCAGTCTGAAGTGAAAACCAAATGGAGGATTTGCCTAAGCAAGCAGTGGTTTGAAGGGGGTTAACCACACCACACACACAGACACGCAAGATGGCAGATGACGGCGCCTGCATTCACCTAGGACAAGGAGGCTGAAGAAAATAGTCATGCCACTCGACTGTTCCTCCTGCTGAGCCTGCTCCCCCGTCTGCACGGGGAGGATGGGCTTGGCAGGGGTCGGGAGCACCAGTTTTGTAGTGACAACCAGGCTAGTGTGGAGGGTGACATTGAAAGCTTCGTGAGTTGTGTTGGGGAACCTGTTGGAGGACACAAAAAGCAGAATTAGATCAAGGAAAAAGGGCTCCGAAGTATCCACACACAGAGCAGAGGAACCTTGGCACAGAGCTCTACAGGAGTCATAAGTCTTGCAACCACCAGGCAGGCCTTAAGAGAGAAACTGATGACAAATGCCCAGCCTGCTGCCACAGGATGGCACCATGCCCTCAGGTGCTTCTGAACGCTGCCATTTAGAGGACATTCGTGGCGATGTGCCACCTGCTCTTTGGCCATCAGAGGGGATTTAATCAGAGGCAAACTGGAATCTCATCACTTTTAAACATTATTTACTTGGTGCCTTTATTTCTCGTTTACATTCTTTTCTTTGGATTATATCCACGAGTTGAAGAAGCCACCTGAATTTGCGCAATAGGTGATCTGGTTGCAATGCCCTACCCTGCTTCGTAAGATCCTTCTCAGATTTCAAAAGGCTCAGTGTAATCCCCTCTGTCACTCCCCGCTCCAGGCCACCCCGTATGTCCCCCACAGCTCTCTCCTCACATGCGGGGACTGCACACTCGTGCACTATTGATACAATAGTCATTGCAATTGTGATTGCAATTGTGATAACAGCTAACGTGTACTGAGGCTTGCTTCATTCCAGGGGTTAGGTGACATACAACCTCTCATTTAATAGGCATAACATGTCTGAGGTGGATACTCTTTTTTTGTTTTCTTCTCATTTTTTTTGAGGTGGATACTCTTACTTTCCCTTTTATACCCCTGAACAGAGACTCAGAGAGGCTGCATAATTTGGACAATGCCTCAGTCAGTCAGTGGCAGAACTGAGCTTTGAGACAAACATGATATCATTGATTCATGCCACCTCTTTTGCTTTGTGCAGCTGAGGCACAGTTTAGTGTCTGGGACAGGGCGGAATCTTAACAAATAAGGTGACTAAATGAAATGACCATCGACCAAGAGACAGTGAGGAAGTCAAATTTCAAATTCACGGGGGTCCCTGTGGGTTTTTATATACTCATTCCACACACATAGACAGGGCATCTCTAACATGCAATACACTGTGCCCAGCAGGCATGGCGATGGACGAAGAGTGGACCCTCCCCAGAAAACACCTGGAGGACAGGAACCCCGGCGGCCCCCGTTTCATCTTGTATGGCCAGCCCCCTTGCTCTCCGCACTCCAGGCACCCAGCCTGCCTTTCTGTCTCCCAAAGGCACTAAAGCCTGTCTCGCCTCTGGTCTCTTGGACTCGCCGTCCCCTCTCCTATCCCTCCTCCTGGCACTGGCACTCCTTCCTGAGTAGACTCCCCCACCCTAACACTATTCCACTTCCTTCAGAGCCCTGACATAGGCTTGTCTATGTATGGTCTTTCACTACAAGAAAGGAAGTTCCCAGAGGGAGGCTCCTGGTTTGCCTCCTTCACTACCATGTGCGCGGGGCCTCAAACATAGAGATGGCCGCCAGTGAATGAATGAATGAAACTCAATGGAGACAGGTGCAGAAAATGATCTCCACGGTGGAAGAGGCGACTGGCTAACTAGGGGGCAAAAGGGGGACTTCCTGGAGAGGACGGAGCGCTCCGTAATCGTCAGTCGACCGGAACACCGGGAAAGGGAAGTTTGGGTTGCGGGTGCCGCTAGACGGCTTTCGAGGCCAGCACAGGGCGGCCCGATCCGCAGCCTAAGGTTCGGATCTCCAGGAGGCCGAGTTGGGCCCAGGCCCGTCCCTCCCGCCCTCCTCGCAGGGGCCAGCAAGATCCGTCCTGGCCAACCAGCACAAGGAGCTCCTCCTTCCGGGGACGGGAGGCGGCCCGAGGCGCTAGCTGTCACCCGCCGGAGCCCAGCCCTGTCGCCTCCGCCGCCCCGGAAAAGCCCACTCACTCCTCCTCCGCCATCTTCGGCCCCATCCTGCGGAGCCTCCAAGACCACCGAGTTCGGAGCCGCGGGGCTAGCAGGGCCCGCCCTTGCTTCCGGCTTCCGCTGAGGGCGCGGGCCGGCCGAGAGCCGGGGGCGGGGCCTCGGCTGCGCCAGGGCGGCCCCTCTGTCCCTCTGTCTCTATAGTCCTGGAGGTGGAAGGTGGCCTATGGCAGGACATTCCCCGGGGCTTCCAGGACTTCGTGACCTTCTGGCCCGAAGATTTTGGCTTTTCCCCACCACTGGGCGGGGACGTTTTGAGGGAAGCTCCTGTGAGGTCAATGTCAGTTACTCTAGCTGAATGCTGGGAAGGAAGCTTCTAGCCTCGGCTGCACGGAGGGACCCCAGGGGCACACTTCCCCAGCCTGTGCCTCAGCTTTCCTCAGCTGCCAAGAGGACCAGCCACCTGACTTTGCGGAACTGTGCAGCATTCTATCTGTAAACATTTGAGTTCTGACTATATGCCTATCATTAAAATAGGTGATGATGATCTAAGGATGAATCATTGATTAATTTGATCACTGACACCTGTATGTGCCCAGCAGTAGTCTGTGAGGTTGGAGATATAGGAAGGAACAAGGTGAGCTTGGAGGAATAAGAGGCACCCTATCAGGAGGGCTAGACTATGTTGTAAGGCTTTAATATATTTTATTATTATTAATTTCAGAGAGGAAGGGAGAGAGAAAAACAATGATGAGAGAGAATCATTGATTGGCTTCCTCCTATATGCCCCAAGAGATCGAGCCTGCAACCTAGGCATGTGCCCTTGACTGAAATCAAACCCAGACCCGTAAGTCCACAGACTGAAGCTCTATCCACGGAGACAAACCACCTAGGGCTTGTAAGGCTTTTGGATTTGACACCACCTCTGCTGCTACCTCCTTCCTGGTCCAAGCCATCTTATCTCAACATCTGCAAAGCTGCCTAAATCTTCTCTCTGACTTTGCCCTTATTCCCAGGATCTTCCACACAGTGGCCCCAGTGACCTTTCATTTTTATTTTATTTTTTTTAAAATATATTTTATTGATTTTTTACAGAGAGGAAGGGAGAGAGATAGAGAGCTATTGGAGAAACGTCGATGAGAGAGAAACATTGGCCAGCTGCCTCTTGCACACCCGCTACCGGGGATGTGCCTGCAACCAAGGTACATGCCCTTGTCCGTAATCGAACACGGGACCCTTCAGTCCGCAGACCGACGTTCTACCACTGAGCCAAACCGGTTTCCCAGTGACCTTTTAAAACTGGTCACTCCTCTGCTCAAAACCTCCACCGGCTTCCGATTTTGATCAGAAAAAAAAAAAAAAAACTTGGCGTACTTACAGGACTCACTCAACCTTGCCCCTTTCCCTCCTCTGAGGGGGGTCCCCTCTTCCCCTTAAGCACACTTTCCACTGTGTCCCAGTGGCTCTCTCAGTGTGCCTGAAATATACAGGGAACACTGCCTCCTCTGCACTGGCTGATCTTTTTGTCTAGAATGCAATCATGGGCTGCATAATGACATTTTGGCCAACAACAGACAGACTTCACCCTTGAGGGTGGTCGGCTAGGCGTGCAGTAGGCTCTATATAGCATCTGGGTTTGAGTTAGTGTACTCTATGATGTTTGTACAATGATGAAATCGCCTAAAGATGCATTTCTTAGAATGCATCTTGGTCATTAAGGGGCACATGGCTGTACTCCTTTGCCCCTTGGTTTCCACCTTTTCCACTTTTGGGCTTTTTGTTTAATCTGTACCTTGTCCTTTCTCTCATACCTGACCATCCTGTTTAAAATCCAATGCTCCTCCCTTTCCCTGAGTTATTTTTCTCCAGAACACTAAACATATTGTTTTATTTGTTTACTAGAGGTCTGGCGCAGGAAATTTGTGCACTGAAGGAGGTGGGGGGGGGGGGAGGGAACTGAGCCCAGCTTGCACACTCTCCAATCTGGGACCCCTTAAGGGATGTCTGACTGCTGGTTTTGGCCTGATCCCTATGAGTGGGATCAGGCCTAAACCGGCAGTCGGACATCCCTCTCACTATCTGGGACTGCTGGCTCCTAACCATTTGCCTGTCTGCTTGCCTGATTGCCCCTAACCACATCTGCCTGTCAGCCTGATCATCCCCTAACCACTCCCCTGCCAGCTTGATCAACATCTAACTGCTCTTCTGCCAGCTCAATTGCCCCCAGCTGCCCTCCCCTGCTGGCCTGGTCACCCCTAACAGCCTTCCCATGCAGGCCTGCTCACCCCAACTGCCCTCCCCTGCTGGCCAACTTGTAGTGGCCATCTTTGACTACATAGGGGTAGCCATCTTGTGCAAGGGCATGAGGATCAATTTGCATATTACCTCTTTATTATATAGGATTGTCCTTCTATGAGCATGTAGACTTCCAGAATTCAGATTTTTATCTGTTTTGTTCTCTGCTTTATTTCCAGTACCTAGAACAGTACCTGGCACATAGTAGGTACTCAATAATAAATGATCACTGAATAAATAAAAACATTACTTAACTCTGCAAGTGTTAGGAAACAGAAGGGTTTCAAAAAGAGGAGGGCTGCAACCTGACTTTTATTAGGACCCCTGTGACTATAGAGAATTGTGTAGGGTGGGGAGTGTATGGGGGGAGGGGGGTTGGTAAGGATGGAAGCCCTCAGATCTGCTGGGAGGCCTTTGCAATAATCTGGGCAAGAGCTGGTCGTAGTTTGGATTGAGGTGATACCGTAGAGATAGTAGGAATGATTGGATTCTGGGTGCATACTGAAGGCAAGATTTGCTGATGAGCCCTGACCAGTTTGGCTCAGTGGATAGAGCGTCATCCTGCAGACTGAAGGGTCCCAAGTTTGATTCCAGTCAAGGTTGCAGGCACATCCCAGTGGGGGGTGTGCAGGAGGCAGCTGATCGCTGTTTCTCTCTCATTGATGTTTCTAACTCTCTATCCCTCTCCCTTCCTCTCTGTAAAAAAAAAAAAAAAAGATTTGCTGATGAACTGTGGCATGTAAAAGAAAGACAGAACTTTTGGCCTTGGGCAGAGGGCCAAACCCAGAGCCTGCTGCCACTCCAAGACTTTTTAGGACTGTTATTAGAGCTGAGAATGTGTTTAGGATTAGCCAAGGTTTATTCAGTCCTTCCTTGTGGGTGTGGTGCCGAGCTATTGTTTCCTTAATTCCTTACACTCCTTTGAGGCAGATACTATCATAATCCGAAAACTAAAGAAGGCAACCATTTGCCTGAAGTCACGAAGCTAGCTGGCAAATGCTGAGGCTGTGATTCTGGCAGAGTCTGTGTTTATAACTGGTACTCCTTGTTGCTCTCCAGTACTTTAATTTCTCTGGTCCTAACATAGGGCTCTTCTCCTTATCACAGACAGAGCTGGCGAAAATGCACTGGCCCTTAGGGACTGAGAGCTAGATTCTCTCTGAGCCACATTTACTGATTGAGAGCTTGGAGTAGTTACTTTCCTTCCAGCCCCAGAAAAACCCAGCTGAAGTTGAGGTCCCCTCCCCCCCACGGGCGGGGGTAGAACCCTTGCATCAGACTGAAGGCTGTGGGTCAGTCAGGATGAAAGCAGGGCCCTGACTTCATTGATGGATGCCCCATTTTATCTGCTATGTTACTCACTGCCCTTGCCACGGATCCTGTTATCAGGTCTAGTTCCGGGCTTTGTGGCAATCATGCACCTGCTGCCAAGCAGGAGGCGGAAGAACACCTGCGAGCAAGCCTATGGGCAAATCCCAGATCTTGTGACCTATTCCTGGGAAGGAATCTAAAGTCCCCAGGAAGGCAAATAAAGCCATTTGACATGCAGTTCCTGGGCTCCTGTGCCCTGTCAGGCCAAAAAGGGGGTGGCACAGGACATGGCAGGCTTTGGTGCCAGACAGTTCTGCCTGTCTACCCCAACTCGGTACCCGTGGGCTCTGTGATCCTGGGACCCCCTCAGCACCTGCAGAACCTCAAGGCTCCGTTACTGTGCCAGAAGCCTTTAGGAGGCCGTTACAGGATTAGAGAGGAAGCTCTGCCTTTGTTTTCTGTCCTCTCTGCCCTCCACCTCCAATCTTGTCATTCAGATCTCAGCTTAACTGTCACCTCCTCAGGAGACCCTCCCTGACCACTCAGTCTAAAGCAGGGATCGGCAGATTTTTTTCTATAAAAAGCCAGGCAGGAAGATTTTAGTGTGATCTCCATTACAACAAGTCCACTCTGCTGTTATAGCGGGAATGACTTCATAGATGATTTAAATAAGCATGACTGTATTCCAATAAAACTTTATGGGTATTAAAATTTGAATTTCTTATCATTTTGACATGTTATGAAATATTCTTTTTTTAAAATATATTTTTATTTATTTCAGAGAGGAAGGAAGAGGGAGAGAGAGATAGAAACATCAATGATGAGAGAGAATCATTGATCAGCTGCCTCCTGCATGCCCCCACTGAGGATCAAGCTGGTAACTTGGGCATGTGCCCAGACTGGGAATCAACAATGACCTCCTGGTTCATAGGTTGACACTCAACCACAAAACCACACCAGCCAAGAATGAAATACTGTTTTGATTTTTTCCCAACTATTTAAAAAGATGGAAACCATTCTTATCCAGGGTCCATATGAAAGCAGATGGCCGGCTGGATTGGCCCACCATGGGCAGCTGATCCTGTTATGCCCAGACTTCATGATCCCCAAGGATCACCAGGGAGCTGAGTCCGATGCAATAAACAAAAGAGCCTTTTCCATGCTAGCATGAGCTCCTCCCACTCACACTGGCAGCATGGCGGAAGAGAGCGAATTTCGCCAAGACCTGGGGTTTTACTCCGGTGGTGATGTCACTGCTTTGGCTGACCCTGATTGGGCTAGGGTCCAGTTAATGGAGGATAACTCCGCCCTGCCCCACAGTGGAGTCAGGAGTTTTATCCTCGCCCTGCCCTGTCCTCTCAATCCTTAGTCTAGTCCTAAAAGAAGTGTTTCTGCCTGGTCAGTGTGGTTCAGTGGTTGAACACTGAACCAAGAGCTCACTGGTTCGATTCCTGTTCAGGGCCCATGGCCAGGTTGCAGACCTGATCCCCAGAAGGGGGCGTGCAGAGGCAGCTTCTCAATAGTGCTGTTTCTCAATGAC